AGATCCTACATACAACCTTCAGCTAATGGTCCCGTGATTGAAGTTCTGTGTGATTTTAAATGGAAAAAGACACTGATAATGCGGAGAACCACTCTCTGCAGAGAAGTCGATTTTAACCGAACTTGGAATGAATATGTTATGGGATTTGGTACCATTCATGGTGAATATTGGCTAGGTCTGGAAAATGTCTTTAAAATTCTACAGAACTTTCCATCGACAAATAGGCTCAATATAAGATTACAAGTCCGTGATACACCCGTCTCTCAAAGTTATTATTCTGGCTTCGACATCAGTAACGGCTGTGATAATTACACGGTGTCAATCGCATCCTTCTCAAATGCCTCCAAACCAATCGGTGACTCGCTTACAAATGGTATGTATTCTATAAACGGCAGACCGTTCTCGACATATGATCGGGACCATACTAGTCATAATTGTCCAGGTCGTTTAATGGCGGATGGTGGTATTTGGACGATCCAGTCTGTAGTCGAGCGAACATACTTGGTCGGAGAGCGGGAGATAATTTTGAATCCACCTGTCACTGGCAAGATGATTTGGGATTGGAAACAGATTTTACTATAATTGAGATGGTATTGAAGAGATCGTAGTTTGTGGGTGTCGCAGTTTTAGTCGGTACCCTATCTGGCTCGGTACCTTAATATTTATGTAAATATGCATGAATTGTGGTATCCTTCTCTGCACAATAATGACATTATTTCTGACGACCTCCCCAGATGAGCGAAAGAGGGCTTTAAAATGTTATAAAACAATGTTGAAGTCCTTTTTTTTGTTTACCGTGAAAAAGGCGTTGTGCACAACTAGTTGCAAGTTGATCTACGCTGTCTTAGGACTCGATAGATTGTATTGTATCTGTTGCGCATGTTGTACTTTTCTGAATACATTTCCGAACAGTTTCGTCTGCCTACACATCCTACATTTATCAAACACAGTAACAATCACATTTTGTATCACGTAATTATCTAAAAATGTTATTGGATATACAACCAAAACATGTAGGCATACAGCAATAGAAGAAGCGACCATATTATTGATTGATATCACGTGTCTAAGTTTGTCACATGGCCGATCGAAGGCCTGTCTTCTTGCCGTCAGTCGTTGACGATGTGCATGCTCGCAAAACTGGACGCATGGACGCAACTAATTTCTGCCAGTTACTTATGTTTTTGATGTTACTAATCGTTAGAATAATCAGTAAAATAGAAAAAATATTTAAACTAACTTAATATAAAACCATGCGATAAATTCGGGAAAACTGACTGTAAATGTTGCTTTCTAGAGTATACTCTGAAGTTTCCAGATCATCCACAAATTAAACTTGTGGTAATCTTACCAATTCATCAAAAACGAATTAAATTTAAGACTAAAATGTGTCACAAACTACGTCATAACCTCAATTTCTTTTAGAAGCGCTCGAGCCTCTCATATCCACAGGCCACTTTTCAGTCCACCGCTTAACCCTTGTATGTATACAAGCGGTATGTCTTGACCACACGACAATATCCTTAAAGCGGAAATTGCAAATTTTCAAAGGAAGTCAAAACGTAATTATTTCTATGTCTTTTGCTCAATAGGTTGTCAACTCACAATTATACGATCATAGGTGTCATTCTCACACTTAAGATTCATTTACACAGGAAATAATAACACAATTACCTCCCAATTACCTCCCTTGTTTTCTATTCTCCACCATGGAGTAGCGATATTCAAACGTTTGAAAATGAAGAGGAAAATGATATTTTTGCCTATTTCTCAGATGGCAATAGTGAATTATAGGATTATTCTTTAACAAGGTAGGACTGTTTATGGATACCATCTATTTTCAGGCTTTATGTTAATAAATTTTAAAAATATAACTTAAAAATTTGGAATTTCCGCTTTAACATTTGGGGGTTTATAATTGTCTAGCGAGAATTTTATACATTGTCAGCTCCCTAACGTCATGTATAATGATGCAAATATTCCGGAAGTGAGGCAGTGGCAACACTCACCATTTGAAAAGAAACTAAAAATATTACATTATGGAAAACAAGGGATTTTCCTGGACGCCCCCCACCCACCCACCCACTTTTAAACATTTTGCTGGTTACCAGTGCTTAATCTGTTTTGCGCTCGGTGCCAGCTTTGTATTTGGAATCTTTTTTACTGCTGATTCTACATGGAAATGACAAAATGTTATTTGCAGATTTTGATGGTTTCAAAGACACCCTTTTAACAAATGCTACTTTCACCCTTGATCATTCTCGTTTTGGGTTATTTGAAATTATAAACATGTGATTAGAAATTATATTCTAGAATGAATACTAAATTGATTCACGTGTGTGGTCGAAGGTTGAGGGTCACGCATTCTTTGTGTTTTACAGAAATGGTTGTTTGTTAACTACATCCAATAAATAGATCAATCATTTATCAATGGCATTATGAGCCGATGTGATACTTTTTTATTTCAGTGTATTTGATCAGCTATGTGATTATCCAGATAATCCTATATCGTACTATAATCTAGCAATTGTATTGTGTGTTGTTTTTTATTGGTTCAGACTTTTCTTACTGAGAACATCTAGTGTTAATTTTTTTATGAAAAGAGTTTATTATAAGTATATATCTTCATTGATTCTAAATATTTATTTGATTTATATGCTTCAAGTAGCCTTTGTTTAAACTTCATATTCTTGTCACTAGCAAGGGATTATTTCTTGATTTTCCCATTGCTACATGTAACTATATCTGTGAAATAAAATTTGTATTGTTAAAGCAGTTAATATTTTGTTTTTTTATCCGGTTTGGTCCTCGGTTTTTTTTTTCGCTAAGAGGTTTTGTTCAGCTCACTTTTAAGGGGTTTTGTCCGTCGCTAATAATTTGTTTGAAAATAGTTTAAATCATGAATTCCAAACTTAAACAGCATGTGCGGTGAAAAGTTCGTGGACTTTATTTATGTTTTTGGTAGGACTGTGTAAATCGAAATAAATCCCTTTTCCGATTTCAATTCCACAATTCGTTAATCCAGTGATTCTCAAACAGCACACTAAGAAAATGCGAAAAACCACGTGATCCCAATTGAGTATTCACTGGTGGCTTTATTTGGATTGAGTCAATATATGTGTCTATGACTAGTCTCGCTCTACGGCTGTATGCCGTCTGACTTACCACGTTTTTATTTTGCTAAATTCAAGTATTTTTCAGAAATATTTAGCCAGGTGTGCCTTATTTTTTAATGTGTTCCAAGGTGTGTCGTTGGCAAAAAAAGGTCGAGAACCATGCACTGCGTTAATCAAATGTTTAAACTTTAATATTTATTGTTTTAAAATATGACGAATTCGATCTCTATGTGGACTATATTACTAAATCTAACTCAACCACTACAACCAAAGGGAGGGGGAGGGGGTCTACAAATAAAGCGCATAATACATCATTCCAGTTATATACATTAATTTAGTATTACAATGTAACTTTACGGTGTAAAGTGTAAGTATATCCTGCATCGTTCAAGAAACCGGCTATGAGATCAAATATGACTTCTTCAAGACTTTTCTTTATTTTCCATATTCTTGATTATGCCATTACCCCACATTCTTGTCAATACTACCAGTGTTACATTGTAGTGTAGCTATACCAATTATTACTAATGGATAACCTGGATCAATGAATATTTATCATTTTTAAAATTAGCGAATTTTGGAAGGCCTAATACTACTTAGCCACTGAAACTCACACAAATTTGCCTTTTATATTTATGGCCACGTGTACCTTATTTCATCTATACATGGATATAAATAACTTTATATATTGCGTAGGACAGGCAGAGTTATCCCACAGAGAGTGCATATTTGATTTTTTGCACAAGCATACATACCCAAGCTTAGAATAAAGGGGTGTTTTACAGTCCAATAAAGAGATTTATTGGTGCAAATTGTTATTTATTTCAGATTATTATGCAATAGCTATATCAAAGTAATTTATGATTGCTATATGTTAATTTGCTCTAGATAAAGGACTTGGTAAATGCAATGTTGTCCTCTCTAATTTTTAATACCTGCTACCTTCACACTATAGGCAGTGTGGTCGTATTATGTCGTCACCCTGTCAGTTCGCCGTTCCGTCCGTCAGCAATCTATTTGTGAACGCCATTGAGTCTACGGGTTTTGATGGCCTTTTTGTTAAAATCTGGTGACAAATCTGATCGATATTCAGCATACCGCGACCTTCCGTGCCAGAGTTATGCCTCTTTCTAGAAAACCTTGTGAACATGAGAGAGGCTATAGTATTTTCTTTTTGGTGGAAGGGGGGATGGCATAAGAGGACAAACCCCTTTGATTTTCAGCGCTGGGCGACAATAACCTTTTTGTACGTAATTTGGATTGATCATGAGAGTACGAGCCCTATCGATATTCACCGCTCCGCAATATTCTGTTCCAGAGTCCCCCCCCCCCCCCTGCCCACAACCCCATCTCTATCCCATAAACCCTGTGAATGCGACTGAAGCTAGAGTTTGTAACTGATTAGTTTTGAATTTGGTTTAAAGCATTGATATTCAGCATTTCGCGACCCCAAGTTCCAGAATTACATCCCTTTACTGAAAACCTTGTTAATGCGATAAAGGCTATGGTGTTTATCGGATTATTTTTCAAATTTGAAGGGAAGCTTTAGGGACGAATCCTATAAATATACATAGTTTCGAGTAAAACAAACACACACCACTGTGATCGCGATAGTGATCATAGATTGTAAAAAAATTTTCAAGCTGTGAACACGATAAAGATCAGCTTTCTTGAAGGCACAAATGATCCTTATCAAATTGTTTTAATATCCAAGTTTTCCTTTAGGATAAGCTGGTGTCGATACATAGCTATCTTTGATACATCTTTACAATTTATAGGGCTGTATCCGATGATATGATTATTAGAACCCAATGTGTCAAAACATTATGGAAATCCAGAAGCGACAATTTTATAAATCTCCGTAGACGAGTAAAATGACATAAGGATTATACAAATATTTCTATTGTTTACGTTTAAGAAAGGATTAGATACAGTAACTCGGGAAATAAAACAAATATTGTAGGTTACATAGTGTCATGAACTCGGTGTGAACAGATACAAAACATATACTATATTTTTGTATACCTGTAATGTCAGTAATTAACAACATTCCCTTATATTAATAACCGCATGCTCTACAATAAAATAGAACCAGATGTTCTTATACAATTAGATAAACCAGAAAGACTGTTATGCAAAACTAAGACATAACAAACAGTAAATATCACACACGATATAACACACGAAATTCTGATATTTCCAAACGATTAGCCTAACAGTAGATGGCATCTGGTGCTATAAAAATTTTCAATGTTTAAGGGTTGATTCGTGGCTTAACTACGATCTTGTACGGCCGAGGGGCAAGTAAAAGTCCGTCGTCCTTTGGTTCCAAATTAATTGTCTTTCCTGGTTCCGGCTCCATGACCAGCCGTTGACAAAGGCCTGCAAGAATTAAATGTAGTTCTGGTTTAGCCATAGGTTCTCCAAGACAAACTCTTCTACCAGCACTAAATGGAAGCCAGTTTTCAGGTTTTGGTGCCATTTGACCATCTTTATCTAAAAATCTTTCTGGTTTAAACTTTTCCACTTCTTCCCAATTATCTGGATCATTCTGAATTCCCCAGTGATTGATGAAAACCATGGTATCCTTAGGAACCTCATATTTACCTGTAGTGAATAATAAATACAATTCTTACTGGATGAAAATAGAACATACTATTTTAATAGATGCCAAAGAACCAGGTCGTTACTCTAATTAAGAATTTTATCCAGTCTTATCAAAATAACACGAACATCTCATTTCCTTTTGTAAACACGTTTCGTTATGGGCCACGTTATGAAATGTGTGAAAATGTGATCTGACATTCACATTTGTATATATTTATTTTCCATGATGTCAAATCAATTGCAGAAGCGATATGTAACAATCGAGTCTATTCAAAATGGCGGTTTCGATATTTGGGTAACAAAGGCCATTAATATTTTCTGTGACATTTGTGTGGAAATATAACCATACAACCCGAAAACAATAATTAAAGCGAGAATTTCAAATTTTCTAAGAAAGTCAAAACATAATTATTTTTATGTTTTTTGCTCAATAGGTTATCAACTCACTATTATACGATCATGGGCATTATTTCCCACACTTAAAAATCTATGACACAGGAAATAACAACACAATTACCTCCCCTATTTTGCTAATGACAACATGGGGCAGCCATTTTCCAACGTTGGAATTTGAAGTTAAAAATGATATTTTTGCCAATTTCTCAGCTGACAATAGCGAATTATAGGATTAATAGGATTATTCTTTTACAAAGTAGGACTGTTTATGGATACCATCTATTTTAAGGCTTTATTTTAATACATTTTAAAAATATAACTTGAAAATTTGAAATTGCAACTTTAAGCAAATTAACAAAATAGAGAAAGAGAGACGTCATAGGTCGAGAACATGATTTCTTTCCAAGGCGGAAGGTCAGAAAATATTACATTCTTACAATTAATTCATATACTAAATGGCATTTGTAGATATGTAGCCGTTCTATAACTCGTTGTCTACTATTTGAATACATATCAGACAGTGGAATTTGTTCTCGAAAATGACGATAATCAGTCAGTTTAGTTGAACACTATTACAGACACTTTTTACTGTTAAACATTATATTATGTCTTACCATTATCTATCGTAGTATCACAGCTAGTCATGTGAGGAACTCCTATTGGTGCCACTGACCCCAATCGCATAATTTCATGTAATGCAGCATCTGTATAGGTGAGATTCTCTCTGTCTGATGTAGTAGGGTATCTATTATTCCCTGTAATAGATGTATAATATTTATTCAATCAAACTGAAGTAACTTATATAGAGTGTATGTAATCGCATTATACTCCAGTTGAAATACTAATGAGAAATTATCAGAGTGGGATTTTATTTCGTATGTCAATTAAATAGAATTCAAACGTGAGCAATCAATCTATGCCCCATATGGACTTCTATAGTATTTCACGATGTGTTCTTTTCATATTAAAACTAAGGAAACCCGCGTTGCTCTAGATACGTATGCAGAAATCATCACAGATACAAAAGTGGTTAAAGATAACAAACTATAGGAACTCTATATAATGCCTCTGTCTCCTCACATCCGCTCGCACGAGCCGGTTGATATGCAAAGCAACTCTAAGGTCTCCCCAACTGGTCGGACTGATATCTGAATAAACCCAAGTAGTCTTGCTCTTTATGCAAGGCCTGTTCTTAATATGAAATCTGCATAAACAAAATGCCTGGTACATTTCCATTGTATAGTTGAACAACCAGCAATGGAAACCTGTATTAGTTGGTGGTAGACATTATTTGAAAAACAAATTAATTACGAAGTTGAAATCATCCTTTGAAAAACAACTTTAAAATATTCAGCATACAAGACTAGGTCAATCCTGGTATATTAAACACGCAATCATTAACGGAATAACAGGTCATTAAATATTAGGTACACTGTAAAAAATATCCATTTTTTATGTGTCCGAATTCCGTAATTTAACACCTTTTTTCTGTTAATCGATGGATTTTTTGAAGAAATTGTGTTAATTGTCTGAATTATTTCTTCAAATTACGTGTTTTATGTATTTCTGTGGAATATTCAGTATTAAACAGGAAATTTCCGTGAAATTTAGGGATAAAATGTTTTATTCCCTTCTATAACGGACTTAATTCTGTTATTTTACGGAATAAACGGTGGAATGACAAGGAAGTTCCGTGAAATTTAGGGATACAATGTTTTATTCCGTTCTGTAATGGACTTAATTCTGTTGTTTTACGGGATAAACGGTGCAACGATAAGTAATCGTATACATATATAATCATTCCTAATAATCATCATGTTATAGTATTCATTTCAATTTATTAACCATAATATGAAGAATCATATTTTGTAACGTTTGGTATATTAATTGACATGTATATCTAATTTCCATTATTTATAAGATCTATAAAGTGTATTGTTATTCATCATACGGTAATCAGATTGTAAGTATTTTCATAAATATTTAAAAGTATGTTTTAATGCTGCGGGTGTTAAGGTTGTAATATCTGGTAATCAAGCACGCTAAAGTCCGGATAGTACAACCGGTTGGCCAGTGTAAGTCGGTTTGTCTCTATGGCAGAGTCTGCATACCTGCGAATTGATAATACCGCAAACTTACATCTGAAAGCCTCCAACCACTGACGAGTAGCGGTTTGTGATACCTTGCTCTCGATTCTTATAATAGCGAAAAGAGGTTACGTTTAAAAATTATTTGCGATATCACTTCGGTGGAAGCGGACGTTAAATAAAGCTATTTCACGCACGCGTATAAAGTCAATGGTTAATTCAATGAAATTTTTATCACCTTCATGGTCAGGAAACAAAATTTACCAGGATTTTTTTTTCTGTATTTGAAAATGGAATTAATGTTAATTGAAGGAATTTCTGTAAATTACAGGAAAAACAAATACGGATAAAATTTTCCTGGTAATTTTTGTTTCCGGAATTTTTTACGTTTTTTCACGGAAATTTTTGTTACAGTGTAGTTAGGTCAAAACAATACGCAATGATTTTGATCTTTTTGGAGTTAATGCTACATTCTGTTGAGAGGCTATAGCAAAATGCACAAAAATACATATACATATAAATACAGTAGAACACAAAAACATATAATATGGAACACAATTATTATTTTAATTGTATATAAACCTTCTGTATATTATGTTTATCATCATTTGCTTGAAAACGCTGAGAGAACCTTCAACAAAACGTCGCTTTAATTAAAGGCTCAATACCACTCTTGTTGTAACTGAATAATATGTCCCAATCTTTATTCTGGTCAACAAATTGTACTATTTTACAATATTCCAATTAATTGATGATGCAAATTTCATCTTAACACACCTTATTTAAAAAATTGGAAAAATTCAACTAAATGATTTGAAAAGCCTGACGTAAAGCTTTTCAAATGTGACTTGGATTTAAAAATATTTTTGAACCCTCTGGACAAGTAAAATAATTTACACAACAGGTAAGACACTAACACATCTAGTACTTAGAATAAGGCTATTTTTTTTATTTTCTGGAGCTGTCAAGCCAGCAAGAGTGTTATTGTCCCTTTAAATAGTAATTGTGTTCTATATTATGTTTTTGTGTTTATTATAAGTATATAGTGTTCCATAATATAAACTAAAAATTACCAACGACAGAATCCACTTCATCTTGTATTTTCTTCTGTACATCAGGAAGGCCAGCCATATACATCAAAGCCCAGTATAATGTTTGTCTCGATGTATCATTACCAGCTGAAAGAGAGCAATCGAATTTTAACTTAATGTCTTCTAATCAACTTCGTAACACGTTCACAGAGTTCCGTGTGAAACTGGATCACCGGGAAGAGCTAGATATTACTGGTTATAATTGGTGAAACTAAACTAACAAATAATGTGCTGTCGTATAATTTGGCCCCGCAGGAAATGCAAATACAAAGAAAATGATCGATCCCTGTTGTACTCCAAAAGAATTTTATGTTCCAAATTTCCCAATGTGACAATGAAATCTTGGAAGATAAACATCTACCAGTCTTCATAAGCCCATTTGGTGCCAAAAGGTAGGACACTATTTAACCCCAATTTATTAACCAAGTACTAAAATCAAAAAATAAATCCAATTTCATAAATCCAGTTTGCATACAACAAAGCCTCTGTTTATTGCCTACATGGAGGTTAGGCCAGGTGTAAATTGAAACAACATAATAACGGTAGCGAACGAGAAAATAACCTAAAGTTTTATTTCAATTAAAATAGCTCCAATATTGTGGTACGTTAAACCCCATTTCATTTCAATATTGTTAAATGTATTGTTTCATACCTATAAATATGTCAAATACTATCAACACTAGGTGGTGATGTTTAAAATAGTCCATATTCTCTTCACCTTCTTCTCGTATTTCTTTTTCTGCTTGAAGAAGACTTTCTGTAAAGTTAGTTACATTACCTGAAATGAAACACTAATTGAATAAATAGGAATACTTTCATTATTAAATGATATAATTATGCACATCAACTGTGAGCTAATGAAGTTTTTGTAAATAATAAAACTACACACCTGGTACAAATTCGTCTTCTATCCTTTTGATATTAGATCTCATAATATTCATAAAATCATCAACTACTTGGGCAAAACGTTTAAACCTTTTGGTTGGGAACAATCTGGCTGGTGGGAAAATATTTTCTATAAATAAACCCGCTGATGCTATTTTAGAAATCTCTTCCAGGATGTTGAGTAAATCTAAGTATTCTTTATCGTTATATTCATACCTTATAAAAATAAAAATTGTAGTTTATTACAATTGATCAAAGCGTTGCACAGGGATATTATTTGATTGTATTATGTCCTAAAGAATATGAAAAGTAGGTAGATGTTAAGTATTTGTCATATTGCTCTAAATATCTTCATTGAACTTTCTTGTTTGTATTAAAACCATTTGATTAAAATAATTTATTTTTTAAATCTGTTTTCTTTCGTTTTAAATTTTAAGTATTAGTTAGAATCTAAATGGTTTTATCATTGTAGCACGTTCTTACTTTCATTTGAATTTATGTAGTAAAATCTTATATAGTTACTTTGTGCCGAAGACCATGGCTCCTAGAATATTTAAAGTTGTAAAGAACATGTAAGGTTTAGGATCAAAAGGTCCTTTCTCTTTTAACATGGCTTCCACTGTTTTAGATACGGCTTCTTCTACCTTTATATTAAAGTTTCCACCGACCATAAATAATCTAAAAATGGTCAAAAGAACGTTGTTAAAATAAATCGAAATGGTAAATATAGCGTTAAAATAATCTGAAATGATCAGAGTAACGTTAAAATAATCCGAAATGGTAAAAATAAGGTTTAAGTAATCATAAATGGTAAAAATAACATTAAAATTAACTGAAATGATAACAATATCGTCAAAATAGCCTGAAATGGTAAACATATCGATAAAATAAGTTTTAGGTAATCATAAATCGTAAAAATAACATTAAAATCAACTGAAATGGTAACAATATCGTCAAAATAGCCTGAAATGGTAAATATAACGATAAAGTAAACTGAAATGGTAAACATTACGTTAAAATAAACATAAATGGTAATAAAAAATAACTTAAATAACCAAATACGGTCAAAGTAGCATTAAAATAACTATAAACGTTACCCGTAAAATTAATTTGTAATATACCAAAACTATAAGTAATGAACCCGAAGCAGTATTAAAAAAGTCAAAAATTACATAAAACAAAGGGTAAAATAGAGAATTTAGAATATTAACCAAATATGCATAAGGATACTTTGACAATAGGGGTTTTGATAAAAAGTGGAACCGCCACATCGATATTAAAAGCCTATCTACAATCAATTTGTGGTAGTTGCCTTTAACTATTTACCTCATAGCACGACCTGCTAACTTTCTTCTAAGTTTCCATCCAGTGCCGTATCTACCGTTAATAATGTCTTCTCCCCCTTGGAGAAAAGCTTCAGCTAGAAACGGAGATGAACAGATTTATAAGCTTGCAGTGTATAAAATAGAATGACGTTTAACATTAAGCCCATTTAAGATTAGCGTAAGGTATTGTTAGACTGCAGGCTGAATGCGGGGAGGTGGTGGGGGCATCAAATGGGCACAAATTTATGACCGACTAATCTTATATATCTTTGTCCGTAGGATTCGAATTGGAATTGGGAAATGACCACAGGGGTACAGGCTACCGAATCACTTTGGAAAAGTCCAACTTTACTTTTGACCTTTGACCTCGCGGGGGGGGGGGGGGGTGTCAAGGTACAGATTTTGCCCGAACTGAACCAAATTGCAAGGGCATGCACAAATTGTAAAAATATTATGTTATTGAGAAAAAGCTATGTGCCCGTTGGAGGTGAATAGCTGTGTGGATCAAATTTGTAGCTATGGTGTGAACGTCCCAAATATTTTGATGTAAGAAAATATTTACGTACAAGTATACAGCGTATAACGATCAGAGTAGTTAGCTCCCATGGTGAGCAAAGCTTCATTAATAACATCAATACGGTTTAATATAAGACATCGTATCGGTCCTGAAATATCAATATATATATATATAAGACAATGGCTTTAGGATTAAAATATAAAAGACACAGTTTAGGTTCTGAAATATCCAATTAAAGATAAATCAATACACAAGGCAATCGGATCTCTGAATTTGATCCCGCCATCGTTGCGGAATGATGTCGAGATCAACTAAGCGTACTCCCTTCTTTTAAAGACTGACCTCCCGAGAAAATTGAGATTACGATGGGCAAATGTTTATAATTAGGTATCTTACCCATGTAAAATGTAAATGCTGGTCCATATTTCTTAGACAGATCGAGGAATTTCTTAGCCAGGTTGCCTTTGGTATATGCTGAAATTAAATTATACAACATCAGTAGACATCCGTATTCGTTGCCACGAATTTCAAATGTTCATATAAATTCGCGATTGTCTGAGAGTATTTGATAGCCACCGCCGAGCCAAGACGGGTGCTAGTAAATCCTTATAACTGTTTTGCGATCATTGATGGCGAATTGTATTCGTAGCATAATGAATACAATACTAAATTTTAGAACAGCTTGTTTTGTCAGTTTAATGTTTAATTTGTATGTAAAGAAATGCAAAGGTAAAAGCTTCGCTACCTTTATTTTTACTTTAATTGTCACAATCGTAACTATGTGTGATGAAATGTACATACTTTGGCATGACTCAATGTGAGTATATATATATATGTGTTTTTACACTTTTTACTTCAACACTATTTAAGGGGATTTTAAACCCTGTATACCTTTATTTCTCTATAATCGGTTTATTAGAGAATGAGATGGATATAAATAAATGTAATTTTGGTTTTTAAATTATTTTTTCTCAAAAAAAAAAAAAAGAAAAAAAAACCGACAAAAAATTGTAATAGGTTGTTCCCGGAAAACAAAAGTTCATTTAACATTACATTGGAATTAGATTATTACATTAAGGTAATGATACTACTCACCATCACTATTTCCAATCATGGGCCAAGCAAAGGGTCCGGGGGGTAAACGATATCTCTTCTTAAAGATCAGATAAGCCAGAACACCTGATGCGGTACCAATCAATAAAGATCTACTTATTTTAGATTCTGGTATATAATCATATACTACATCCGGTATATATTTAACTAGTTCTTCTAGTATATGGTGAATAGTATCTATTATCGCCATCTTGGAAATTGATAACCCTGCAATCTAGATATGAAAAAGGTGCATATATGTATAAAATAAAACAAAATAAAATAAAAAGATTCTGTCATTTTAAAAATAAACCAATAAATTAATAAATCAGTCAGTATATAAACTTAAATGTATAGACAATGGACGTACATTTCTGGTCTAAAACGGTACACAAGAGCTTTTAAAGTTCAACAGTATATATACTATTCAAAAAAAGTAGGGGATATTTGATTTTTAAGTGTTATTAAAGTCACCTAATGAAACTGACGAAGAAACAAATGACAAAATGAAATGAAGTTCACATTCATCGATTTATTCCAAATGATCGTTAGACTAAGTAAGGCACAGACTGACCATTATAAGGGTAAAATGATACCCGGGGTCAAACAGCAAAGTTACCACAGCATCACAACCAAGTCAGTAACGGGTAAATCCTCCTCTGTTTGCCAAACAAGCATTGATACTCCTAATGAGACGTCTAAGGTCATTTTGGTCCAGATTGTCCCATTCCTGTTGCAACGCAGCAGCAAGTTCTTGGACATTGGCAGGACGTTGTTGACGTTGACGTAACCTCTGTCCAAGCATGTCCCAGACATGCTCGATGGGGGAGAGGTCGGGACTCAGTGCTGGCCAAGGTAATGTGGTGATGTTCTGTTGTTGGAGGTAACCTGTAACGATCCTGGCCCTGTGACATCTTGCGTTGTCATCCTGGAAGATGAAACGGCGGCCATGACTTCGTGCGAACGGCACAACATGGACTGCCAAGATGTTGTCCCGGTAGTACTGGCCTGTAACACGCCCTGCAACAACATGTAAAGCCGTTCTTCCAGCAACAGTGATGCCTCCCCACACCATAACAGAACCACCCCCAAATCGATCATGTCTGATGACGTTAACGTCTTGGAAGCGCTCGTTTCGACGACGCCACACCCTCCTACGTCTGTCCAAAAAATCAACAGTGAACCTTGACTCATCTGAAAACATCACATCGCTCCAGCGTCGATTATCCCAGTGTTGACGATCCCTACACCAACGACGTCTTGCCTGAATTAGATGATCTCTCAAACAAGGGATCACGCGAGGACGTCGGGCGCGAAGGTGACCCCTATGCAGTCGATTCCGAATCGTCTGGCCACTCACTCTCACACCAGTGTCTGTTTGAAGACGAGCGCTGATCTGATTTGCTGTGATGACACGATTTCTCAAGGCCAAGGTACGGATAAATCGATCCTGGGCTTGAGTTGTCGCCCTTGGTCGACCTGAGCGTGGTCTGTCCTGTACAGATTGTGTATCACGGTATCTGGACCATAGCCTGCTTATGACAGACTGAGAAACACTCATCGTCCGCGCCACAACCGCCTGTGTTGTGCCGATCTGTAGCATGCCAAGGGCACGTAACCTTTCATTTTGGGTAAGCTGACGCATATCAAAATTTGTTTTCTGGTCACTAAAACAATTAAACTGATGTTTCCACCCTGGAATTCAATGCCACAATGACTGTAACATTCAAAGTCAGAGTCGTGCAAATCTTGGGTTGGACCCCCATGATGATCCCAAGCATCACCTGCATTCCATGCGGTAGCTATTGGTGCGTTTGGGCGTCACATGTAACTGGAAATGTTTCTTCTGTTAGGTTCTATAGTGACTTTTTTCGTAGTCATTTGCATATTTTAGTATTATGCCCCCAAAATCAAATATCCCCTACTTTTTTTGAATAGTATATATGGCAAGATACAATAATGATAAGTGATTGTGCAATAGGTTACAGGCTATATGCCTACATATATATGTTCGCTAATATCAAATTAGGCCAAACCTTAACTAATATGCCTAGGACATCGAGAATGTATTCTCCCGACTCCACAGAAATAATTATGCATTGCATTATGTACTCGGTCAAAAAAGAGGACATGATATATTCGTATATAAAGTAAACATTATCTACTAAACACAACACAATTGATTTACTATGGATCACGGGTAGCGATCAAATGACAAGTGTGAACAAATCTCAATATATCACCCAGTGATTACGTTTCTAGTGTAAGGAAAGATTTGTAATATAAGAATCTTCAATGAAAAAAATGGAATTAAACAGTTAGAAGGTTTAATGGATCCATGTGATTTAAAGCGTCGACACATGGATCCAAAATTTTCACAGTCTACAACAGAATACAATAATAATAAATAATAATAACAATAGCTTTATTTCCAATCAAGGGTCCACAGGGGACATGGTACAGAGCAAACAAAGAGAGAAAACCCAAATGACAGTCAAGTAAGAAAATATAATAGTATACATAGCTCCCAACAGGGGAGATACACATATAAGTACCTTATGCACTAAACTAAGGCTTCATGCCGAAAAAAAAAACTGCTCATGAGAACATTATTATTAATCATGAAAGGGAGATAAATCCACTTAACTCTTAATGTTACAGATCAATAGTAAGCATTACAGAACAGCTGTATTCATCCGCAAAAAAAAATAGTACCTAAAATTCATGTACATTATATAGGTTTAAACGTCAAATGAGGTCAAATGAATAGAGACGTCTTTAATATATACTAAATATTCGTATCATCCCAAATCGACAATAAAACAGTGAGAAAAAGGAAAATCTAAGCAATCTAAGTAACATAAAACTTACGACATAATGGATTCTTCAATGTTTTGATGGTGATCATGAAGAAAATAGCCCTACATCTGTTCTCAGGAATCCGATAAGATTTTCAAAAAAAAGATCAGTAGAATTATAGATTGTTATTCCACAAAGTCGAAGGTATGTTAGATTTTTCATTCAGTCAAGTTAGAGCGAGTTTATTGCCGTACTTTGAGCTCCAAACCCGATAGAAATGAAGGCGGAAGTGGCCATAATAGTTTTAGAGATCACTACGTGATGGCGCTCCTGCGTCGCGACAAACGGGGCCGATTTGTCAAGTCGAAAAGTTTTAAAAATGTTGCTTCCTCCGGGGAGATTTAAGAAGCTATTAGCTATCGTAGAAGTCCCAACAATCAATCAATGTAACCTTTGAAATTTCTAATTGTTGAGAGATGGTGATTAACTTGTCAATGGTGATTAACTTGTCAATATTAATATTTCAGAATTAAACTATATATATTAAACATACAACGAGTGTCGGATTTAGATGAAGAGAGATCCTTATCCTTGTTTTACTGTGTTGATTTGTTTAGTGAAATGGTTATATGTCAGATCCACAGATAGAATCAATCGCAGGGCCGACGGAAGCAATTCTTGATTGAGGGGGGGGGGCTACTGTCCTAGGACTTTAGGCGAAGGTCCAGGGGCCACCGAGACCCCGTAAGCTCACGGGGGGTCTAGATCGTCGGAGACGCTTTCCAAGCGATTTCTGGCTAGTACAATCATTCAACATTGAAGTTTTTATGGGTTTTGTTTAATCCCTCACCATGAAAGCACTGCAGACGATAGTGATATCCTGTGATGCTAAACTGGACAAATATATGCATAATAATACCAAACGTTTTGAACACTCTAGAGGTCACAATTTTTGATCCGATTTTGATGAAACTTACAATGTCTGTTTATAACCCGAAGATCTCGGTTCCTGTCGATATTGGCACATATCGGATTGTAACCTCTTGGATTTTGGCCCTTGATTGTACGGATAATTACACTTTTAGCTTGTAGTCCCTCAAGTAGTCAAATTTAATGTTCAAATGGCCGCTCCCCTTTACGAAAATAGTGTAAAAGCATATAATGTCCAGGGTGACCTTCGGATGTATACTGTGATCGCGACTACAGTCTGAACCAATATGGCGGCGGCGCGCATGTCAGTTGTTTCGCCTGCTATATTTTCTGCTATTTACTCATTTTTAAAACTATATTTTGACGATGGGAATGAAGAAATGCTTTTAAAACATTTTCTTACAAAGCTGACTCCATCCGGGTTAACTGGTAACATGGATCGTTTCACAAAGTTTTTTGTCGTGGGCCTATATATATATATATATATATATATATATATATATATACTTTCGGGTGTTACCATGGAATGCGGCCCACGGTGTAAATAACGCATTGACAATTGGCAATTTTATGATATTTTTCAGACAATTCTACACACCTGTCAGTCTTTTCAGCCATCTTTGAACTATCTCGACCGTGCTCTATCGCGTTTTTACGGCTGGTTACGGCCAGAGACTGAACATGCAGATATTTCGACTACAGTACGGAAATCATTGCAACTGAAGGTCACCCTGTCGTGGACCATCTAGAGGTCACAATTTATTTCCGATTTGCGCTTATCGGATCGTAACTTTCTGGATTATGGACCCTGATTGTACGAAAAATCACGTTTTTAGCTTGTGGATCCTCATGATGTAAAAAATTGTATCTTATTTTCAAAATAGATCAAATATATCACCGTTATACCCTAATTATGGTTGAGTCAGAATTTCCTGAAAATCGAACAGATACTTCCCGTCAAATGGCCGCTCCCCTATACGCAAATAGTGTGAAAGCATGTAATACCAAGCTTGTATCCGATTTGATGAAACTTAAAACGAGTGTTTAAGTATCATTAGTTCTTGGGTGAGTTCAAGTTTGGTGCGTATCGGACTTTCCGTTCTGGAGTTATGCCAAATGCCTTTTACGCAAAATGTGAAAAATGAATGAAGTTTGTGGACCTCCCAGAGGCAACGATTTTTGTCCAATTCATGAGACGCTTAAACTATGTGTTGAGGATCAAAAGTTCTTGTATGAGTTTCACTTTGGTACGCACCAAGCCTTCCATTCTAGAGCTTTAGTCCATGCTATAGAATGTTAGAAAAACTCTATCCCGTCGTGATTTAATTAGCCAATATGTCATAAACACAACGGAAATGAGATGGAATGAAATATTCGACTGCTCAGAAAAGTTAACTTATTGCGACCCTCGCAACCTGGGGGTCTATTAACTCAGTGATCAGTATAGTGAATAGCAGGGGTTTTTTTTCTTCTGAAAATCTACGTTCTTATACTTCTAGAAGTCTCACTTCTAGGTTAAAATCAGGTCTCTTCCAGTTACGTCACTGTATCCAACTGAATAGTTACTTGCGTGCAATAACATGGAGAAAAGAGTACTTGCGGCAAAATTGTTGGTGGGTGGGTGGGGCGGGCTTTACGTGGGGGGGGGCAGTCCATCCCACCCTGCCGGGCCTGAATCGTAATATAAGATGACATAGTTGATATTATGTTCAGATGTCCACAGTTTAAGTCAATACTTAAACTTAAATCTAATCGTATAGCGTGTCCCATCACTGATTGAAAAACACAGTTTATTTCGATCTAAATCAACGAAGTTTAGATCCTCTAAATTTGACTTTTGATATTTAAATAAAGTACTACTTTAACTTAAGTACGATCATTGTATTCAGGAGTACAAAAAGCACATTATTTTTTCTAACGCATATTATAATGACTTACAATGTTTAAAAACAAAGTTCATATGGTGTAACAGACAACTACACAACAAAACACATTCCAACAAATTATCATAGCCTGATATAGATGACATTTAAATAAACATCGACCTGAGGTTAACAAAATATCTCCAGTGTGAATCTGCCTTAAATCGTTGGTCATGCTCTATAAATAGACCACAATGGAAAATAAAACAACCGGGATATGTATGGAAGTCTATTACTGCCTTTCTTATAACACATTTCTTCTAATGTAGTGATTTTACTATATGTATTAGGTTGTTACGATTTGGTATAACGTCTTCTCTTTATTATTTTGAGTCTTCATTATCTTGTTTTTTTTTTTGTTATCTTGTTTCTTTGGTATGTGGTATTTTTATTACGTTGTTTCTTTCTTATATTGTATCTTTATTATCTTGTTTCTGTGTTATATGGCATCTCTACCATCTTGTTTCTTTGGTATGTGGTATCTTTAGTACGTTTTTTCTTTGTTATTTGGTATCTTTATTATCTCGCTTCTTTGTATGGTATCTTTATTACTTTCTTGTTTCTTTGTTATGTGGTATCTTTTTATCTTGTTTCCTTGTTATGTGCTATTTTTATTATCGTGTTTCTTTTTTATATGGTACCTTTATTATCTTGGGGTTATTTTTTGTTATGTGGAATGTTTATTGTCTTGTTTCTTTGTTATGTGATATCTTTATTACGTTGATTCTTTGTTATGTGGTATCTTTATCACGTTGTTTCTTGGGGTTGTTTTTTGTTATGTGGAATGTTTATTATCTTGTTCTTTTGTTATGTGATATCTTTATTACGTTTTTTCTTTGTTATGTGGTATCTTTATCACGTTGTTTCTTTGTTATGTGGAAGTTTTATTATCTTTTTTTCTTTTTATGTGATATCTTTATTGCGTTGTTTCTTTGTTTATGTGATATCTGTATTACGTTGTTTGTTTTTTTTATGTGGGAATCTTTATCACGTTGTTTCTTTGTTATGTGATATCTTTATTACGTTAATTCTTTTTTATGTGGCATCTTTAGTATATTCTTTATTTGTTATGCCTTTTCTCCGTTATTTTGCATCTTTATTATGGAGTTTTTTTGTTTTGTCGTTTTTTTGTTATGTTTGATGATTTTGTTATTATGTAATGATTTTGTGAAAACGCTGTGGTGATTTTCTTATTACGCCGCAGTGGGGATTTTCTTTAACTGTGGTGATTGGAATACTATGTGGTCTTTGTTGTGGCGTCTTTTTTATGAAATGAGATGGTGATTTTAATAATATAGTGAGGCAATTTGAATATTTCGCGGTCTTTTTATTATGCCGTAATCTCATAATGTGGCATTGTTGTTATTATGGTGTGTGGAGTGCGCTGTATTACTCCACGATATTAGTAAATAATTACTCTATAGTTAACAAATCAATCTGGATGTGTGATACTAGAAATGTCTAATTATTTATTGTAAGTGCAATGGGATTTAATGTCCTACCGTCCTAATAGAGACGCCATGCATGAAGTGTGCTATGGCGATGTTTTGCCCGGACAACGGTGATACGACATACTCTTAAGCGGTTCTTTTACATGCTCGCCAATGGGTACACTGGGCCACTGACAAAGGGGAAACTACACCGGAAAGTCCCGAGGGCCTTACAGGATCTTACTTATTGAGCCAGCACGGCTCCCAATTCATTTGTTGTTTGTTTCGTAGGTGAAAATAATAAAAACCAAAACAAAATCAATTCTGAACTACTAAATTACATCTATATCAAAAGTGTATATTACTAATTATTACATGTTTCAAAGGTGTCTATCAGTCAGTAATCATTCAATGTTTCAAAACTGTAATGGTTATTACATCCGTGTTTCAAAACTGTAATAGTTATTTACATCTATAATTATAACATGTTTTAAAACTGTCTATCAATAGGTAATAGGCCTACATGTTTCAAATGTGTCCATCAACAATTAATAGATGGTTTAAAGTGTTTATCAATACATTTTTCATCCCACCTTATATATAATGATTATCCCAACAGATTGGTTATGCAGGTTAGTACAACATGTCGACTCCATTTTTAATTTGAGGACGAAGAAACTTCGCATTATCCTGCAGTCTTGTGTGATATTTTTTTATACAAAAATAAAATACATACCATATAAGTACACGTAAGTTTATTATCTGACATGATCGATATATTTAGCGATGAGTTACATGTTACATTCTTTTCTACAAGTAGTCCTACATTGTCAACTCTCTAAGTCAACTCGTCCCTACATAGCCTTTAATCTAGGTCAAGGTCAATATGTAAATGTAAAGTCTGTTTACACTTGATAAATCCGTGACGGACTTCGTCGATTAATTTTTTAAAAGCAAAACGTGAAATGAAATAGTCACATTATTCTGTACAGCTCCTGTCAGGATTCGAAGCCGATTGTACACGCTATCCAGTCACCTTTTCTAGTCAAAAGAATATACATAACTTTAGCCCGTGCTTCATTTTTATTTCAATAATTCGTTTAGCAGTGGGAGAAAACCAAGTGAGCGCCCCCGTGAGACAAATTCCGCCCAGGCCCAATTGCAAAAAATTGAAAGATCAGTTACATATTATACGTCGCTATCTGAAATTATTTCGCGCCTATGGCGCTCGATTCCCTTGTATCATCATTATTCCACTCCTCTGTGGACTTATATTAGTATCTTACCACTATCATATTCACGGTTATAGCGAATCTCCCAGTAGATCCACTAAGGAGTGGGGCGACAGATTGCACAAATGTTCTGTAAACTCTCACAAAACAGGCGGAATTGACAGACAGACCTCGAGATTCTGGCCCATTTCTTATCCTTTCGTTAACAAGAATTTGCTTCCATCAATGAACTCAAATGCCAGGATATTGACTTAAATTTTCAAAATTTGCTCAGGGGGAGACACCCGCCCCCCGGACCTTCAGTTAGGTTGTTCATTGTTATAGGCGCTGTCTTAAGGTTCACAGAAAATTAATAACAAAATCAATAACAATCATACTTGACATGAACTTTATTTCAACTTGAATAAAACTGCTTTCTGGCGAGATGAACGATCAGTGAACAACTACGCTCAGTGTTTTATCACCCAAAAACACATTCTACAGTAGGTATCGATTGTGTGATAAGTTTTATATTCTACTGAGCGACAACTGGCGTGGTTTCGAATCCCCGGTTGTACGTGACAAGGAGTAGGGTAGTCTGTCCAATTTCGTGGGTTTTCTCTGAGTCCTCCCTCTGCTAAAGACCCCTACGCGCAAGCGAATTAATGAAATGAAATTAAACCATATGTTAGTCCCTAAATGACATAGTTTGGTCCCGAAATTACCTAGTTTGTTTCAAGTGGACGTTACCCCCCCCCCCCACCTCTCTCTCTCTATCTCTCTCTACTGAGCGATATCTAAGCAAAGCCACGTTCATTTTTACATTATCGACTTGTGTTGATATATTTTGATATCAAATTAAGACTCGTAGGAGATTCTCTATATAACCATTATTTTGGTGACATACATTGTGGGGTTGAATTGTGGATGGCGCCCTAGATTTGGACCCCCATCCCCCTGTTCACAACATCTAGAACCGCTACTGTTAACAGATACAAAACATATACCATATCTTTGTAGACCTTAGAGTACAGAATATCCAAATAAGGTAAAACAGCTGCATAATTGTTAATTTACATAAATGGCCCTGGACATCCCTTACAAACTAGTGTTAAAGATGCATTATGTAATAGCTAAATCTGCCTAATGCAGATCTTCTTTCGTTTAGCCTCAAATGTTATATAAATCAATAATTAGAAATATAAGCCTATAATCAACTACCTAGACCATCGGATAGTTTGGATTTTCAACACGATTGGCAGTTAATAATTGAATTAGAAAATGCATATACATGTATATATATCGTGCACTGTCTCAAACTCTTTATCCTATGATTATCAGTTCAGTAATTAACAACATATTTTTATATAATTATTTACAGTAGTAAAGGTGAGATTTGTACGTTTACAGTATAGATTTCGCGATAATTATATCACCTTTCAGTCAATTTCTCACCCCTGTTAATTAACACACCGTACCTACAGATTTTACCCTCTTCGTATTAGATTTGTTGCGATAATTAGAATTTTACCGATATTGGTACAAATTTACTAAAAAGCGTGAAATCTATACTGTAAACGTACAAATCTCATCTTTACTACTTCTCAGTGCTATACAATAAAATAGAACCAGATCTTCCCATATAATACCAGAAAGACAGTTGTACAAAACATAGACATAACAAACAGTAAATATCACAGACGATAAAACACACAAAACTCCGAAATTTGCAATACGATTATCTCGACAGTCGGATGTGTCGGGTGCTAAAAAAATACCTAGCATAGCCATACACGTGCCCGTCACTCACAAATACCATGTCTAACAGATAGCTACACATCTACTTATCTCGTCAACGCAACTAGTCCATCATTCTGAGACCAAAAATATGCCAATATGTACTAGATATAAACCACTACGAGGTCGTAAGAGGTCTATATTAAACATACAAAAGAAATGAGATTAATAGCAAAAATGAATTTATATAATCTTCTAGCTGTCCTGTTAACAAAACATGTGCATGCATATTAGTACAAACATGTAAATGCATATTAGTATATACAAACATGTAAATGCATATTAGTATATACAAAGATGGGCATGCGTATTAGTACAAACACGTGCTTACTTGGACAATCCCATGAAGGCAATTATAGTGATCAGAGGAGGTCAATATCCAAAATGACGACCAAGAAGATCAAAGAGATACTTTTATCGTGGTTTGTATGTATTTATATGGTTAAGTGAGGAATTTCATTATCAATTTACTTTTGTGTAATACATATAAAAACATACACTATGAATTCTTGTTTTCATTGAAATGTTCAAATTTTTGTTTGTTTGTTGTTTTATTTTTTTTTTGTATTTGGGGACGGGGTACATCTACCGTATTCATTTCCATGCAAAACTTATTTATAAATAATTCATAAATAATTCGTTTGATAACGATGAAAGTACTAGCCAAAATTTTAATTTTAGTGTTTTTTCTCTAATACTTGAATTTTACTTATATGATTAACTGAGAGTCAATGACATTATCTATGAATAGTCCTAAGACGGACGAAAAGTACTTTAAAATGTTAAAATGCTATTAAACCAGTGTTGAAATCAGTTTGTGTCGGCATACTTTTTATCTTTTCATCGTTTTCCTTGAAACAAAGTTGTGCAGCATTACGGTTGTGCTAATAATTCTGGCTATATATATAATTTGGATAACAAAAGCAAATGTTTAAGGGTTGATTCGGGGCTTAACTACGATCTTGTATGGATGAGGGGCAAATTGAAGTAAGTCCTCCTTCGGCTGCAAATTAATTGTCTTTCCTGGTTCCGGTTCCATGACCAATCTCTGACAAAAGCCTGCTAGAATTAAATGCAGTTCTGGTTTAGCCATTGGTTCTCCAAGACAAACTCTTCTACCAGCACTAAATGGAAGCCAGTTTTCAGGTTTTGGTGCCATTTGACCATCTTTATCTAAAAATCTTTCTGGCTTAAACTTTTCCACTTCTTCCCAATTATCTGGATCATTCTGAATTCCCCAGTGATTGATGAAAACCATGGTATCCTTAGGAACCTCATATTTACCTGTAGTGAATAATGAACATAATTCTTACTGGATGAAATCGAACTTAATCTTTTAATAGATGCTATAGATATAGTTCATTACACAACTTAAGAATTACAGAACTTCGTAGCACACCTTTATGGTAGATGTTATGAAATGCGTGGACATGTGATCTGACATCTCCAGCCCAACAAATTCTAAGTTAAATCAATTTAAAATGCAAGATGGACGCAAAGGCGGTTTCGAAATTTGGGTAAATAATTGTTATACTGTTAAACATTGTATATATCTTACCAGTAGCTATCGTAGTATCACAGCTGGTCATGTGAGGAACTCCTAATGGTGCTACCGTTCCTATTCTCATTACTTCATGTAATACTGCATCTGTATAGGAGAGATTTTCTCTATCTGATGTGGTAGGGTATCTATCATTCCCTGTAATAGATGTATAGTATATATTCAATTATTCTGAAGTAACTTCTACAGAGCGTTGCTATCGCATTTTACTGGAGTTGAAATAATAATGACATTTTGTTTAGTAGATATATTATCTTGCTAATTAAGTAGATTTCCAAACTTGTCCACCCATAACCACGATGGCCTGGTAATCATTCATGTAGCACCATCCCGTATGGCTTCAATATAGACTGCGGACTTTAATTTGACTACACGCCGTGTTTTTTTAATATTAAAACCAATGAAACCCCGAATGCCGTCAATACATGTTTATATAGCAGAATGCATCACAAATACAAAGGTAATAAACAACCATGATAAAACATATTTAAGCACAAACTATAGTCTATAGGAACTGTAAATAGCTTCCATGGATTCTGACATCCGTTCTACCCCAGCCGGCTGGAAACAATTCTCCACAGTTTGTCGGAATAATATCTGAATAAAATCACACATGATTGTTTATTCTCATATGGAAACTACATAAATAACATGCATTTCCATATTTGTAAATGGATCGCTTGACGTCATATCTGGTACATTTCCATTGTATAATAAACAAACAGCAGTGGAATCCTAATTACGATTTCAGTTAGTGGTAGACAAAATTTGAAAAACAAGTTTATTACGAAGAAGAAATTATGACGTTAACATATCTAGCATACCAGACAATTGGTCAGCCCAGTTTTATCAAATACATCTCTAATCATTAATAAAATAACACTTCATTAAATATTATATGTAGGTCAATTCACAATAATTCGCATTGATGTTAAACTCTTTTGAGTAAATGTTACGTTTTATTGTAAGCCTATAGCAATTGTTCGTGTAGTCAAAATGCACAACAATACAAAGACCTAATAGTACGTAAATACACCAGAGAAAATGTAATTTTAAAGAAACAGGTAAGTACACATTAAATATGGCGATCATTTTTGGATTGCTAATGATTCCAATATAGCCATCTATCCACACAAAGTGCCCTCCTCTGACCGCCTCTACTCCCATTCCTATTTCTTATATATGTATATGTCCAGCCTTAATATAAGTATATATTGTTATATAAAACAAATTAAAAATTACCAACGACAGAATCCACTTCATCTTGTATTTTCTTCTGTACATCAGGAAAGCCGGCCATATACATTAAAGCCCAGTATAATGTTTGTCTTGATGTATCATTACCAGCTGAAAGTGAGCATTTGAAGGTTGTATTTCATCATTGAATTTTAACTTAATGTCTTCTTATCAACTTTCTAACACGTTCATCGAGTTCCGTAGTGAAACCGGATCACCCAGAAGAGCTGGATATTACTGGGTATTATTGGTGAAACTATACTAAAAAATAATGTGCTGTCGTGTAATTAGCCCTAGAGATATGGCAGAAACCAAGAAAACGAATGGACCTAAGACCGATCCCTGTTGTTATATTGTATAATATAAATTTTATATTACCTTCAATATTGATTCCGGTTTAAATTTTGGCTGATGTAGTAACTAACTACTTCTTTATCGATGTTGTGCTATTTTGCATGAAACAATAGGTAAACAATAAATTTCATACCTATAAATATGTCAAATACTATCAACATAAGGTGGTGATCTTTAAAATAGTCCATATTCTCTTCGCCTTCTTCCCTCATGTCTTTAGCTGCTTGAAGAAGACTTTCTGTAAAGTTAGTTACATTACCTGAAATGAAACACTGATTGAATAACTAGGAATACTTTTATTATTAGATGATATAATTATGCACATCAACTGTGAGCTAATGAAGTTTTTGAAAATAATAAAACTACAGACCTGGTACAAATTCGTCTTCTATCCTTTTGATATTAGATCTCGTAAAATCAACAAGTTGCTCAACTACTTGGGCAAAATGTTTAAACCTTTTGGTCGGGAACAATCTGGCTGGTGGGAAAAAATCTTCTATGAAAATCCCGTCTGATAATATTTTAGAAACCTCTTCCAGGATGTTGAGTAAATCTAAGTATTCTTTATCGTTATATTCATACCTTATAAAAATACAAATTGTAATTTAGTACAATATAGATCAAAGCGTTTCAGTTTTATTTCACTAAAAAGCACATTATTTGTTCTATTGTGCCCTAAAGAATATGAAAAGTAGGTAGATGTTAAGTATTTGTCATATTACTTCTACATATGGTCTTTAAACTTTCTTTTTTGTATTAAAACCATATAAGGAAAATCATTTACTTTGTCAATCTGTTTTTCGTTTTTTTGTTCGGTTTTATATTTTAAGTTTTAATTAGCATCTAAAAGGTTTTATAATTGAAGCACGTTCTTACTTTCATTTAAGTTTAGGCAGTAAAATCATATATACTTACTTTGTGCCGAAGACCATGGCTCCTAGAATATTTAAAGTTGTAAAGAACATGTAAGGTTTAGGATCAAAAGGTCCTTTCTCTTTTAACATGGCTTCAACTGTTTTAGATACGGCTTCTTCTACCTTTATATTAAAGTTTCCACTCACCATAAACAACCTAAAATCATAATTGTAACGTTAACAGAGAGAGAGAGAGAGGGGGGGAGGGAGAGTTTAACGTCCACTCGACACAGACTAGGTCATTTCAAGACTAACACATAACACATAGCCCGAAATAGTCAAAGTAACGTTAAAGTAATCAGAAATGTAAAAATACTGTTAAAGTAGTCGGAAATGTAAAAATAACTTTAAACAAAAACAAAATGATAAAACTAATGCTAAAATAACCAAACATTGAAAACCGAAATGGTAATCATAACGTAAAAGTTAATATAAATGGTAAAACTAACGTCGAAAAAGCACGAAACGTAACCATACAAGGTAATACTAACGCTAAAGAACCGGTAATGATAACGTTAAAATAAACCGAAATGGTAAATGTTAAAGTTACCAGTGATGACAACAATAACGTTAAAATAACGTGAAATTGTAAAAATAATGTTAGATTGACCTCAAATGATAGAAATAACGTTAAAAAATCCGAAATGGTAACAATAATGTTTAAGATAAAACATGATATGATAAAAAAATAATGTTACACAACCAGAAGTAGTCAAAATAACGTCAAAATAACCTGAAATTAATTTTTAATATGCACATACTGTAAGTAATGAATCTTAAGTGGTATTAAAAGACGTTGAATTACATAAAATAAAGGGCAAAATGAATATAGAATATTGACTAAAAATACATTGGGCTTTGATCAAAAATAATGTGGAACCGTCACATCGATAAGAGTCTATCTACAGTTAATAAAGGTCATTTGAAATTTTGTGGGTGCTGACTTATCTAGCCTTTACTATTTACCTTATAGCACGACCTGCTAACTTTCTTCTAAGTTTCCATCCAGTACCGTATCTACCGTTAATAATATCTTCTCCTCCTTGGAGAAAAGTTTCAGCTAGAGAAGGAAATGAAAAGATTTATAAGCTTGCAGTATGCAATATGTAGTTTAACATTAAGACGACGCTTTACCTTGGTTATTTGAGATTAACATATGGTATTGTTAGACTACAAGCTGGATGCGGCGAGGAGGTCCATCAAATGGGCACAAATTTCTGACAAGCGAATCTTATATAAATTGTTCTGTAGAATTCGAATTCGAACTCTAAAGTTGCCGGTATTGATCAATTTGGTCTCCATTCGGGGACAAATGTCAAATATGGTAATGACAGAGACAGTGACCATTTGGGATATATACGGCCCTCGGGTCATAATTTGGAAATGATCACACGAGTAAAGGCTACTGAATCACTTTGAAAAGGCCCAACTTAACCCTTGACCGTGGTGGGTCAACATACAGATTCTGTCCGATTTAAACCCAATTGCCAGGTCATGTACAAATTGTTAAAACTCAAAGTTATTGAGACAAAGTTATTTACCAGGAAATCCAAAATATACATTTATTGTTAACTAATGAGACGAAATGAAAAAAGCAACACTTTTTGCAAATGGATGATTGAAATCTCTTTTGAGGGATACATTTTAATTGTAAATGTAACACCATCAGATGACGACGATTGAAATCTCTTTTGAGAGATACATTTTAATGCTAAATGTAACAACATCAGGTTGCTCCGAGAACCTTGCTTTAATTCAAGAGTGCATGAGACCCAATATCCACTATAGATCGCATCGACAAAACTGGCGCATTATCAGGCAACATCTGCCGGAGTGTACGCTGTCACCTTCCCGCACAATTTACGTAGTGATGACACTTTTCGTCGACGGCTACACTCTGTAGGTCTACATTCCAGACTAATTCTGACAAAGTCATCAAGATAATGCTCGAGCGCACAAAACACGTTTTTACCTTGGTAAATATAATCTCATTAAAAAATTTATATTTTGATGTAAGAAATTGTTTACGTACAAGCATACTGTATATAACGATCCGAGTAGTTAGCTCCCTTGGTGAGCAAAGCTTCATTAATAACATCAATACGGTTTAATATAAGACATCGTACTGGTCCTGAAATATCAATATACAATGGCTACTTTAGGATTAAAAAATAAAAAAAAACACAGGACAATCGGCTCTCTGAATTTGATCCCGCTATCTTTGCAGAATGATGTGGAGACAACTAAACGTGCTTCGTTCTTTTAAAGATTGACCTCCCGGGAAGAGTTGAGATTATGATCATTAGGTTTCTTACCCATGTAATAAGTAAAGGTTGGTCCATATTTCTTAGACAGGTTGAGGAATTTCTTTGCAAGGTTGCCTTTGGTATATGCTGAAATTAGATTATACATTAATAGACATTCGTATTTGTTCTTTATGCTACTCTCACACAGTGGCGAATATGGTGGCGAATGGGCTTTCAATTTGCCACCAATGATTGTCAGCCATTTGTAAGGATTTACTAGCATTCGTCTTGATTCGGCGGCGGTTGGCGAATACTCTCACACAATCGCGAATATCCTTATATGAAAATTCAAAATTCGTGGCAAATTCGCCGAAAATGATACTGAAATACTAAAAAAAAGGTGAGACCTTCATCTTACGAATGCATTACGATATATAAATGTTTTACGATATACAAATACCTTGTCACCAATAAAAATGGCTTATTAAAGCTATTAGAATATTCTTTACTGGCGAACTTTAGGAGCATGTTCCTAATATTCACAACACCCGATTTACCACCGCGAATGCCTACGATTGTCTGTCGATCACAATGTGATTATTGCGAATTGGTGGTGAATTGTATTCGTATAAGCCCATTCGCCCCCATACTCGCCATTGTTTGAGAGTAGCATAATGAGACTAAATTTTAAAACAATTTTTTTTTCCGTTCAACATTTGTATCTAAAGAAAGACAATTAATGTAAAAGCTTCGATGCCCTTATTTTTACGTTAATTGTAACAATGTGTGATAAAATGTAAAGACGTTGGCATGACTCAATGTGGGTAGATGAAAAAGACCTTTAAAGAAGCATTATGTAAAAGATAACTCTGCCTATTGCAGGTCTTTCTTTATGCTTCAAATGTTATATAAAATATTAATTAGACTTTTATTAACATCACAAGACCATAATCTACTCTCCATACCCTCGGATGTTCGCGATTTTCAATGTATTGAAACCAGATCGTCGTTTAACAATTTAATTAAAAAATGAATAATCGAGACTTTGTTTACTATCGTAACAACGGCAATGATAATTGAGGCCCCGCTATTCTCCAAACAGCCATAATTTCGCTCAGAATGATGTAATTTATTTAATATATTCATTTTTCATTATCTATTTATCACTATTATAGTGAGAACTGTCAGCTTCTTTTTTTTTATCTAAATCTTACATAATGCATCTTTAAGAAATTATTATGGCCAAACCAATTTAATTTTTAGTTCATTGGGATATTGATAAATAATTCCCCCCCCCCCAATCGAGTACTTGAGTCTTGTGAATGATGTTTTATTTAGAATTTGAAAACTTGAAAATGCAGAACTATAAACGTTTTTGAGAATAGCAATCAAGTAATTTTGGTTTTTAAATTATTTTCCCACAAAAAATAGGTCACAAAATTGGAAAATAGGCGTTCCTGAAGAACAAAAGTAAACGCTTAATTCCATTATTTTTTAACATTGCATTGCGATTAGATTATTACATTATTTTAAAGGAGCTAAATCGCTAACATTTGGGACCTAGAAATTCACAAAAGTGGGTCGCAACGCATATAATACTGTAATATGAATGTATATAAACTGATTTACATTTAATGGTTTCCGTTTTTACTCTAATTTCAAATCAGTTCTGTTCGGCGAAATAAGTCAGCAATCTCAATCGAGTGAAAATTTCTAGCGTCTAGTTATTCTAGTCTACATAACTCCATTTGATTTGGTGCAATGTGTCTAGCCTCGTCCCTCGAGTCTCTCAATACAACTGGGACTGAAGCGCATTATGGTACACGATTCGTGTACCAATGTTAAAAAAATTATTTTATCTTAAATATCGGATGTCAGAAGCTCATCTTTTCCCGGTAAGTTTACATCATCAATGTTGATTTAAATTGACCAATAATTCGTGTTTTCGATGTCGAAGATTTTGGAGGATTTTGGGTTACGGACTTAGGTCCTTTAATGGTAATACTCACCTTCTGTATTTCCAATCAGGGGCCAAGCAAAGGGTCCTGGGGGTAAACGATACCTCTTCTTAAAGATCAGATAAGCCAACGCACCTGTTGCGACACCAATCAATAAAGATCTACTTATTTTAGATTCTGGTATATAATCATAGACTACATCCGGTATATATTTAACTAGTTCTTCTAGTATATGTTGTATAGAGTCAACAATTACCATCTTGTAAATTGGTAACTCTGCAATCTAGATATGAAAAAGGTGTATATATGTATAAAATGTAAAAAATTCATTAATATTATGACTACAATAACTGTTTAACAATGATTCCTCGGTGGCGCATTATAGCCCAGTTGGTGTTGACGTGCCATTATAAACACCATTTCATTTCATTATTTCCAGGACTTTGATACAGTGATACATTTAGTCATCCTGACATTGAAATAGGATTCGGTTTGTCTCCCCGAACATCAATTGATTAAATGATTGGATGACCACTGATTGATCACCCTTGCCATAGAGATTTATCTATAAATTTTAAAATCTTTAGAAATTATAGATCACCTACATATAATAAACAAAATTGTTACCATTAATCAGCAATAAAATTAAATTAATTAAATTAAATTAAATTAGATTAATAAACTTTAATTTACACACAATGGTCTTCAAGTTCAACAGTATATAGGACTGATTGTCAAGCCTCGACTGGTAAGTGATTGTGCAATATGTATAAGTTACAGGCTATATACCAACATATATATTTTATCCAATATCAAATCAGGTCAAATTTAACTAATGCGCACAGGACAATCGAGTATGTATCCCCCTAACGCAACAGAAGTAATGCATTGCATATTGTATTCGGTCAAAAAAGAGGACACGATATATTCGTATAGGCTATAAAGTAAACATTAAGACAGGACACAGATCACTAATGATTTCCCCATTGACCTGAATGTTAATTCTCGTCTCTTAGACAGGCTGAACTTTTTCCCAAATTTGGGTAGAACGCTAGAGACAAGTAAACATGCAATTTTCGGTCCTACATTTCAACCTAACCAACCTCTCAACTCTTGTATCCTTCCGCCTCAAAATCATGAATATACACCAAAACCTGGCAGAAAATGTATTTTCAAACCCTTTTCTTCGATTCTACACCAAAAAGTCAACAAAAATCGCCATGCAAAAGGGGGAAAAAGGGAAAGACTAAAAATAACTTTCGCCCTACATTCGTAGGGTGACGGTGTAGAAATATTTGGTGAGCTGTGTCCATCTACTAAACACAACACAATTGATTTACTGTGTATCACGGGTAACCCAGTGTGATCAAATGAAAAATTGTATCTGGAGAGCATTGGCAATAAATATTATCGCTGAAGACTGGAATAACCAGACGCTAGAGATTGCCAATCGATTGCAACTTCTTCCGTATTTCGCCGAACATAACTGTTCTGAAATTTGAATGAAAACGGAAACGATTGATTGTAAATCAGTTTATATACATTCATATTACATTATCATATGCGTTGCGACCCATTTGTGTCAATTTCTAGGTCCCAAATATTAGCGATTTAGCTGCTTTAAACTAAAATTTAATCGTATAGACCGTGTACCTCAATTTATTTTGATCTAAATCATAGAAGTTAAGATCCCTCTAAACCGACTTTGAATATCTAAAAAAAAGTACGACCTGAACATAAATATTCATTATGTTTTTCTAATGCGTAGTGTACCTCTAGTGTGCGTCTGCCTTAAGTAGTCAAACCCTATAAATAGACCACATTGGAAAAAAATATGATATGTATGGAAGTCCATTACTGCCTATCTTTAAATACATTTCTTCTAATGTGGTGATTTTGATGTGTGGTTGTTGTCATTTGGGTATTCTCTTTATTATTTGGTATCTTTTTTATGTTGTTTCTTTCCTATGTGGTATCTTTATTATGGAGTTTCTTGGTTATATGATATCTTTATTATGAAGTTTCTTTGTTATGTGATATCTTTATTATGTCGTTTCTGTATTATGGGAGTGAACCCGAGACCTGGTTAGCGTACAAGCGTCTGACTCACTGAACCACAGCGGCCCTCAATTTATTTGTTGTCAGTTTCTCAGGTGAAAATAATAGTCTCATGATCAAGCACACTTTGACAGCGTATAATTTGTAAGATACGCTTTATAGAAAACAAAATACAATCAATTCTGGACTACTAAATTACATCTGTAGTATTTTTAATGTATCAAAAGTGTCTATCAATGATTATTACATGTTTCAAAAGAGTCTATCAATAATTATGTTTCAATACAGTCTATAATCATAACATGTTTCAAAACAGTCTATCAACAATTATTACGTGTCAAAATTTCATAACTGATCAATAATAGTCATCACATTTCTCAAATGTATCAAAAGTGTCCATCGATAATTATTAAACATATCAAAAGTGTCTATCAATGACTATTACATTTTTCAATAGTGCCTATATATCAATAAATTATACATATTTCAGAGATGTGTATCAACAATGAATAGATGGCCTAAAAGTGTTCATCAATACATGTGACGCTACAGGTAGAGGTAAGTCGTGACTATCCTTCGTCACGGCACTAAAAAGGAATTAGATGTGACACTTTAGGTAGAGTTACGTTGCGCCGTGACTATCCTTCGTCAGGGCACTAAATAAGGAATTATATATGACACTATGGATGTGACACTTTCCTGTGTCTCGGCAGCAGGATGTAGCTGACTCTATCGTCTAGGACCTTCTTTGACTTCGCGTTGTGGGATCAACTATTTCAATCATCAATTAACTGACTCTAGAACACGGTTTATGTGTGTGAGTTAGTTGTATTTTACGTCTGCTTCCACCGAGGTGATATCGCAGACACACCCCGTTTACGTTGTTACTAAGTTTATATAACAAATACAGCAAACTACAAGGGTTAAATAAAGGAAAACTACAACATGTATTTTAGATACTTAAGGGGTTATTAAGATATCCACGGTCTGAGTTTAACATCCTTTATAACTCTGACCTGGAGGGGTTGGATGGCTGAATGGTTAGCATGCGTGCGCTGTATCATAAAGTCTGTCATTGAGTCGACTGACGTGGTTTCGAATCCCCGGTTGTACGTGACAAGGAGTAGGGTCGCCTGTCCAACCTCGTAGGTTTTCTCCGGGTTCTCCGGTTTCCTCCCACTGCTAAAGACGCCTACGCACACGCGAATTATTGTGTTAGACCCGAAATGACCTAGTTTGTGTCGAGTGGACGTTAAACCCCATTTCTCTCTCTCTCTCTCTCTCTCTCTCTGACCTAACGTAACGGCTTAAACATCACATTTTGTCACTACCCCAGCCTCTCAGCCGAGGCGACTGTGGGTATGACGCCCCCCCCCCCCAGGAACTCACGGACTATGCCTTCTCTACGGTCTCATCCTGATGTCTGAAGTGAAATAAAACTCGCTCTTTCTTATATAGAAAGTAAATGCGTCAGCTATTAGGGCGAGACAATTACCATTTTTGGGTAAGTGTTTCATATGGGTACCGTGAAGCGTCATCTGTGTACCAGTTGCCTGGAAGATAGTAACCCCTTCCAGAAATGGATACTGGCATAACTGTCGGTGGGTTAGTCTAAGAAAGTAGTAGAATAATGCAAAGTACTTCATTACCCTAATTTTCGTCATACATCATATAGGTAACGCATTTCTATATTAAACAAAACACTTTTCTTAGATCACTAAAATAAACCTTATAGTATTACATACATTACTCAACGTACATAAGCAATGATTATCCGGACATATGATGTATGCTTATAGGTTATTACATGTCGATCCCATTTTTAATTTGAGAACCAAGGAACTCGGTACTGGGTGATATAAAACAACCAATGCTTAGCAAGTAAAGAAAAAACATTTTGAGAATGTATTCCGAGGGCTACTGCCAATTATGCACATATACAATGTCCCCCAAATCACATAATAGATGACACAATAGAGGCATGAGAATATATCCAAATCACCACACCGTAACAGGTCAATCGCCACATAACCAATGCTGACTTAATAAATGAGACGGCATAATATCAAAAACACCATAAAGTAAAAACACAAGGCAGCCACGGCGTTCCATAGATATGTTTGACACTTGATACAGCTAACGCACAGGCACCTGTAAGGTGTAAAATATTTCAAAATACAACTTAATGTATGTCTAACTAAAGTCCGTTACGTCCATGTTCGTAGGCGGGATTATCAAATAACTGGTCTGGTTAACCCTCATACACAGACAGCGTATTTGCAAACACAAATATAGAACCCTTTACATATACAATGGTCAATGCAATATATAGAAGAAATTTGACTGTTTAATGACTTCCGACAACTCTTCTGTCAGTGGTGCTGGACGGGTGTCTATTCGTTCGAACGTCACCTGTACACGTTGACGTGCACGTAGAATAACCCGCGAGAGTTGCAATTCGAAATGAGAGAGGAGTAGATAGGGTAACGTCCCCTCAACACAACAGGACTAACATATGGTTGAATGTCAATACTTAGTTCTCGCGCCATGGGTTTTAGCAGTTGGAGAAAACGATAGGGCCTCAAATAAATCTTACAACGCATCTCCTTGGCACGCAGAAGTTTCTATAACGACACGGGACTCAATTAATGGCAGATCAAGGGATCTAAAGCGCATGTATTAGACACACACCCCACACCCCCTTCCCAGGAATTGTTAAAAGAAATGGTAGTTTTTGCAAATGAAGGTCAGTAACCTGATCTGCCAATAATTTTGACTAAATAAGTATAGCATCTCAGGAAGTGGTAATGACCACAATAAGTCCATGTGTAATTTATATTTTAATTTTACGAAAACATATAAAAGACACAGAATTAATCAAATTCAACAATTAATGTTCTAAATGGATTTTAAATTAATATTTGAAATTAATACGTTGCTTCTTGATATAAGTGTGAGGTCAGGGACTTTTATTTTGTCCCACACGAAGGTCTGTCAAAGAAAATATGTTTTTAGTTTATATGCTCTAATACCAAACTGCAAACGACATAATATTCCAGATTAAGCATAAAACAAAACTGGCTCCGTTGAAGTACGCAATACCAAATACCTTGTTCTGTGTGTGTGAAATAGCTTTATTTAATGTCCGCTTCTACCGAAGTGATATCGCAGACAATCCTTGTTCTGTAAACGAATTCTTACTTATATGCACTGCAAAAGACTATTAGACATACGTCCCTATCACGCAACCGATACACCCGAACAAATCCATGTCGGACTGTTTTTCTTGTTCGAGCTGGGCTTCTTTTTTGGGGATATAGTTGTGGCTACAGGTGTGTTCATTTGGTGATATATAGTACTATATAGCTTTATGCAAATGTTACTATATAATTCACACAATATACGCACTGAACTGGAATAGCTTGAGATGTATTAGAAACAAGCAGAATAATTTCGTGTATTAAAACATACAGTCTTAGAGGTATTTTATTTCAATAGGAATAAACATTTAAATAACCCAACTCCCTACCTCTTTTTCCAATCATTTTACTCAAATTTAATTCTTTGTATTACACAGATAGTCTTAGGAGTTCCTTATACAAATGACATTAATCATATTCAAAATGTTTCAGATTCAGATTATCACATTAAGCTCTGATTCGTTCCTGGACGACAATTTTGTATGGGTGAGGCACAATTGTTAATCCTTTAACCATGGGTCCTATCTTAACCGGAACACCAGGTTCCATTGTGATAGTTAATCGCTGACAGAGAGCTGCTAGAATTAAATGTAGTTCTGGTTTAGCCATAGTTTCTCCAAGACAAACTCTTCTCCCAGCACTAAACGGAAGCCAGTTTTCAGGTTTTGGTGCCATCTTTCCATCACTATCTAAAAATCTTTCTGGTTTAAACTTTTCCACGTCTTCCCAATTATCTGGATCATTCTGAATTCCCCAGTGATTTATGAAAATCAGAGTATCTTTAGGAACCTCATATTCTCCTGTATAGAGTTAATTATAAAATGAGAGTTATCATACATAAAATATACTTTAAATGAATAAAGGAATGCGACATGAAATTAATACGCTTGTTTCATACTAAAGGACTGTGTTTGCTTCCAAAATTGTACTTTAGATACTGAAGGCCAAGAAAAATACTGTGCAGAAAAGCCGGGCATTAAATACCATTTCATTTAATGTTTTATGGGTAAGCTATATGAAATCTTGAAATAAAGATATATTCTGTCCTTAACCGCTTCCCGAACACACCAGTTGGGAAGCGTCCTTACAACATTGGTCACCATTATGTATTAAAGTTATGAACCGTCACAGGGGCGATTTGTTATCTATAACAGAAAGTTTGAGAGTTGTTGTCTGATAAGAGATCGAAATATAAATTATAAAGAATAAGCAAGAGATCAGAAAAAGCAGGAAACTTGGAGAACAACAATCAATGTCAGTTCCGGATCAACCACTTGTCTATATCGTTATAGATAAATCATATTTAGACCCTGTGTAACTTATTCTATCATATTTCTAAAATTCTGGACCTCAACATATCCCTTTAAAAGTAATGTTATCCGCGGTGTACATGTAATACTAATAGGTTTATTTTAAAGTTAATTATAACCTAAAATAGAATCACAGTTTGTCATGTTAAGATTTCTATGCAGTATGTCGTTACATTATGAATCCCTTGTAATATGTACTTATCTAAAGCAGTATCACAACTTACTGTGCCATGAAGTAGCGGATCTAGAAGCTGTGAATAGCGGGTGGGAGAAGGGGGCAGTTCCAAATTTAGGGCACCATCCACAATCTCACCCCACAATGAATGTCAACAAAATACTGGCTATAACACCGTCTGAGCGCCCCGGTAGATCATAGATCGTATTGCCTATATAGTTGTTCACTGGTCGTTATCTCCCCTAAAAGCAGTTTTATTCAAGTTGACATAAACTTCATCTCATATTATGATTGCTATTGATTTGTGTCAACCTTAGAGAAGTGACTATATAACACTGGGCAACCGGAAGGCGGGGGGGGATGATGATATAATGATGTAATCGAGCTACGTATACTATTTATGTAACTGAGGTTTTTTCGGTCTGAGGGGACTTTGTCTCACGGGGACGCTTAATTATTGGTCTCATTGGTAGTGTGGTGGGGGGGGGCTAAATCCGCGCCTGGTGGCATGTCAGATTACTATGCAAATAATATGTCGTTAACGTGGTATATACCAAATGTCGCAGCACAGTTTGTCACATTAAATTACCATAAGATAGTTGCTATAATTTCTATAGCTTGTCACATGAAATTACCATAAGTAATACTAGAAGTATTTTATAGCTTGCCATACCATTTACAATACTTAAACTATTTAGTTACTATTAGTATTTGTTTTTAGCTTGTCATATTACCATAGTTACTTGAAGTGTTTTTATAGCTTGTCATATTACCGTAAGATATTTAAGTACTATAGGTATTTTATAGCTTGTCATATTACCATACGATATTTAAGTACTATAGGTATTTTATAGCTTGTCATATTACCATCATACGATATTTCGATATTTAAGAAGTAGTTTTTAAAGCTTACGATGCGAGATATCGTTACTATGGAGTATGTAGTTACCTATCGTGGTATCACAGCTGGTCATGTGAGGAACACCAACGGGTGCTACCGTTCCTATTCTCATTACTTCATGTAATACAGCATCTGTATAGGGGAGACCTTCTCTATCTGATGTGGTAGGATATCTATCATTCCCTATTATACATAAAAATACAACATAAATGAATCATTCAGTGAACTACAGGTCACTTGGGCGTGTCATATTAAAAGGCAATGAGGCTCTGGGGTAGGATGTGGGTTACCGTAAATCTAATCCATACATAACCTACGAATGTAGTTCCTGTTAATTAATTAAGAGGGTTTGAATTTACCAGTTCTGAACGTGTGTGTGTATATTGATGATATTCAGGCGGGGCGGGTGGGGGCCGGTGTAACGGTGATATGTACGACGCTGGGTTGCATGTTAATAACCCCATACAAGGTGTGGGGCATGCTTTCAACGAGAAATATTTGGTGGTCTGCATCCATATTTTGGTTTGGTTCCTAATATAGTCTCCCTTTAAGTGAAAAAAGTCCCATTTCAGGCGCTCGAACTTCTGGTGTCTATAATTATGACGCCAATCGCTATAGATTAAGAGGCTTGGTTTAACGTCCACTTCACAAAAATAAACATTATAGATATATATGTAAACGATGATTTGCATCACATGTTTATATAATGCTATATTGAGCTTCTAATTTAAATCTAAGGAAACCCTACCAACGACAGAATCCACTTCATCTTGTATTTTTTTCTGGACATCAGGCATGCCAGCTATATACATTAAAGCCCAGTATAATGTTTGTCTTGATGTGTCATTACCAGCTGAAAGTTAAAATATTGTTAATAAGACAAATATTACCATTAATGTGACACAAATAACAGGAATGATTTCTCTTTCTCTAGCTGAAAGTTAAAATATTCTTAATAAGACAAATATCACCATTAATATGGCACAAATAACAGGAATGATTTCTCTTTCTCTGACACTATGAAACTCACCCAAAAATATATCAAATACCGTAGAAACTACGTGAATGCTTTTATAATCTGTCATATTCTCTTCCCCGTCATCCTTGATTTCTTTTTCGGCTTGAAGTATACTCTCAGTAAAGTTAGTAATATTACCTAAAATGGAGAACAGTTGAATGAAAAAGAAATCTAACAAAGCGCCCAGGGAAAGGCACAATTTTTTCTTGACTGCTTTACCATGAACCGTCATAAAGCCATGAAGAAATTTCGAAATTTAAAGTCTTGCTTACATCAAAACAAATAGAATGAAAATATGGTAGTGACTGCGCTCTTAATTCAAGTTTTTTCAATTTTAATTATCTAAATTCGACTCCACACGAAATAGTCTTATATGTCATATATTTGATTAAGGAAATATTATTTGTTTTATCACCATTCATTCCTGTAAACGCCAATGACCCTTTGTTCAATCAGCTGCGATAACAAACAAAAAATCTCTTTTTAGAAATGATCTAAGCACAATATTTCAGGGAAACGGAATACAAACCTGGTTTAAACGTGTTGCGTATACGTTGAACATGTGTATCGATACGATCCATAAACTGATCGAGTAAGTCTGTAAACTGTCTAAACCTTTGTGAAGGAAATAACCTCGCAGGTGGAAATACATTTTCTATAAACATGCCCGCCGATTGTGCTGAAGATATTCCTTCCAGCTGATTCAAAAAAGTCAAATATTCTTCATCATCAATATCATATCTACCATAATATAAATATTTGTGATCATGAATGTCATAAACATCATAATATATTTAATATTTCTCATCATCAATGTCACATCATAATATAAATATTTCTCATCATCAATGACATATATAAACATTGTAATATAAATATTTCTCATCATCAATGTCACATCATAATATAAATATTTCTCATCATCAACATCATCAAAATGTAAATCTTTTATCATTAATATCAAAGCGATCAAAATATGCTATTATTTTTTACACGTCTTTCAAACAAAAATATTCTGCACAGTCGGTATATATATTCTTCAATTTATACATATACTTCATCAAAATGGGGTTTAACGTCCTACTTTTCTGCTCCGACTAGGCTATTGAAGACTAGTATATATCTATCAAAATATATACTTCATCATCAATATGCTATTTATCAATCAAAACATAAACATACTTGATAAATATTTCGCGGTTTGCCCCTCGTCAGTGGTGCAGGACTGATCGAGTGTCTGGCAAAGCATAGCGACTAGTCGTTCGGATGGGATAAGAAAACAGGGTGCCGTTTAAGCATTGTCATCCACGTAAAAGAACCCCTGGCAGTTGGAATTCGATGAAAAATAAGTTGAAACGTATGGCGCACACTCTTCTTCATCAGCCCGGTAGTTTCATAAAAGTAGGACGTTAAACCCCATTTCGTTGTACTCCATTTATAAACATTGCTCAATGAGAGATTGTTTGCTCCACACAGATCCATTAACATATGACGTCAGAGCGACGACCAGGCCCCGAGTTCACAAACCATTCTCAGAGAATTTGCTCAATTTTCAATCACTGTTTATGAGAAATATCTTTGATTCAGAAACACAAACTTTGCACATAGTTTATTATTGATGTATCTGATACATTCAAACAACAAAATTATTATAAAGGGCTATATTTTAGTTAAAATAAGGTGAACAAGTTTGAGTAAATTCTCAACTTAAGTCTGAGAATGCTTTGTGAACTCGGGGTCAGTCGATATCCGCTGCCGTCGCAATAACGCGCACACAGTAGATATTTTCTATCAATACTGTGACAATTAAAAAATCGCTTGTAATTTTACCAAGAAAATCACGAGGGTTTATGCTCCAGGACTGCATTAAACAGTATTTCTAATATACCCTTAAAACACAACACGATAGTCCATACTTACTTTGTTCCGAAGACCATGGCCCCTAAAATATTTAAAGTTGTAAAGAACATATAGGGTTTAGGATCAAAAGGTCCTTTCTCTTTTAACATAACTTCCACTGTTTTAGATACGGCTTCTTCTAACTTTATATTAAAACTACCACCGACCATAAATAACCTGAAATGCACAAACAGTAAAATATATTATTACACAGCGACTTTTCTAGAATTATAAATATTATTTCAGACCACATTTCACTAGCCGATGAAAAGCAGTATGACCGCTTCTTTAATTAAATAGGGTATATATCTTAAACAGTATTATCCATAACATTCGATATTATAAACACGAAAACGAATTCAATATGGTCCATTTCTATCAATTTTGATGTTATTATCTTACCGAGAAAATACGGCTCATGATATCCAATATTTAAGACAAACATTTAAAAATCAATTCCCGACTTGATGGTCAATGAGGAAGTAATTACAAATGGCTTATTCAAAAAAGACAAAAAGAAAAAGGGGTAAACTTGTAGACTGAACTAACCAAGAAGAAATGTTTGTCATTCAGTTTGGACGTCTTACGTATTTCGCCAAAACATATCTGATTAGGAATTGTTTATACAGAGCGACGCCCTCTTTAATATTGGGGTCATTAGGAATTGTGGTCATTAGTGCATCTTAATCTTTAAATTGTGTTAATTTTAATCACTCATATCTCTGCCGCTAAGTAATTTATCTGTCATTTAATACATACCTCATTGCACGTCCGGCTATTTTTCGTCTCAATTTCCATTCAGTGCTATAATTACTAAATATAATATCATCACCATTTTTCAACATGACTTTAGCTAAAATAGTGTGAGAAAATTGAGTTAATATATTTATCCCAAACAGGCTATCTTTATAGCTGATGTATAGATCAAAGTGTCTGCAGACAACCTTGATTGATCAAATAATGTATTTGATGTATTTATATTTAATTCACATTCGATATATTCAAACCCGCTTACAAATACTGCACCTATATATAAATCAACCAATTTAGTTCGAAGAAAAAAAATATATTTCTTCCGATAAACCGTGACACAGTTAAGACCGTTGGGGCCTATCGTGTCTGCTTTGTCATTTCCAGGGCCATCGTCTCGGAACAGTTGAATCGTGGAAGATCTTCCTTGAATCTTTGCATAATCCTGGAATGTTTATACTTGACTATATTTATCTATTCTTTGGACAGATTTTGTGATAAATAATGGAAATGTCAATTTAAATCAACAAAAAGCAATACATTTTTAAAAAGTTAAGATCTTACTTGAATAAAGTATCATTCTGTTTGCATAATGTGCCCCTTTTGTAAGTAAAGCCTCGTTGATGACGTCAATACGGTTCAAAACTACAATTCTGGAAGATCCTGAAATGAAATGTCACGTGGAATTCGGGGTCGTGGTAATCGATTCCACCGGGAACTGGGCTCTCTACTAGCATGTCGGAATACCGGAATGGGCCAAGACAAATCTTGGTGGATGTATGCAAGTATAAGAACCACTGACAGTAGACTTACTAATCAATCTCACGTCTCCTTCCCAAGCTGGACTAAGCCTTGAGAAACACTTGTCCGCGATATCACCCAAAGTGGAAGGGGACGTAAAACCCCTACTACCTACCTATGGTAGTTCAATAAGAATAGGCACAGTGAGGTCAGTTTCTACATCAAACTGCACAAGTAACCATAGAAATAAATATTACCATTATGCTTTCTGGTGGACTAGCAATGTTACACTGTACGTGCAATAAACCTGTATATAGCGACCCAATGGCAAGAGAGAGGGAAATGGGGTTTAAGTCCACTCGACACAAACTAGGTCATTTCGGGACTAACATATGGTTTCATTTTATTTCAATAATTCGCTTGCGCGTATGGGTCTTTCGCAGTGGGAGGAAATCGGAGGACCCGGAGAAAACCCACGAGGTTGGACAGGCGACCCTACTTCTTGTCACGTACAACGGGGGATTCGAAACCGCGCCAGTTGACTCAATGACAGGCCTTATGATACAACGCGCAAGTGCTAACCATTTTCCATCCACCCCCTTCCCTTACCCCCGACCCAACGGCGTTTTTGCAGCAAGTAATATTATTTTCAGGTTATTGCTGCGTTGCAAAGCTTACAAACGGTGTCAAATATTTGCCTTTTCAAGGTCAACCAATGAAAATTGATGCTTAACTTGACAGGAGTGCAGAGCCACCCCCCAACCCCCGGTCCCTCCTTCAACTGACCCTAATTTTATCAACAATGATTGGTCCGTTGTCCGGTGACACATCGACCAGCTTGGCTTTGTAAAGCCATGAATTGTATTGTACGAACAAGACTAATGTCACAACTGAACCACACGATTTGAACACCACAAAGGTCTACATCTCTCCGCTGGTATGTTACTAACCTAAGTACTGGAGTTGGGGGGAATGGCCGAATGGTTAGCGCGTGCGCGTTTCATCATAAGGTCTGTCATTAAGCCAACAGGCGTGGTTTCGATTTCTCGGTTGAACGGTGACAAGGAGTAGGGTCGCCTGTCCAACCTCGTGGGTTTTCTCCGGGTCTCCGGTTTCCTCGCACTGCTGGAGATCCTTACGCGCAAGCGAATTATTGAAATAAAATTGCACCGCTTAGTTCCACAATGACCTGGTTTGTGTCGAGTGGACGTTTAACCCCATTTCTCTCTCTCGCTAACCTGCAGGTCGACCCGTGCTCGATCCCTGCGTTGGACTAGAAAGTTCTTCAGGATTTTCCGACGAGGTCCCTTAGTAGTGCAGGACAGACGGTCTGGCAAGCGACAATGTATAGTCGTTCGGATGGGACGGAAAACCGAGGTCCCACGTACACATTGATGTGCACGTAAAAGATGCCTTGACAGTTGGAAGTCGATGTAAGAGCAGGTTGTGGCGCTACTGTCCGTACACCCAATCGAAGCAGAACGGTAGGACGTTAAACTCCATTTCATTTCTTTTCATTTACCTAAGTAGAGGGTGAATGCTGGACCATATTGCTTAGATAGATCAAAGAATTTCTTAGCTATGCTACCTTTGGTATATACTGAAATAGAGAGATATTCATTAACTGTATATATTGTGTAAAGAAGGTTTTCGCATTACAGGGTCTATTTTAAGGTGTCATTGGCGAAGCACGATTTCTGGTGTTTTGGGATGGCGTGAAAATTTCCAGAATTTGACTTCCTATAACATGTGTTTCAGTATCATTTACAGTCCAAAGAAACATCCAAGGCAAACGAACCTTCACTGTCACCTGCACCTGACGATGTTCTGCCATGTAATTTTCCTCCTTTTAAAACAAATCGAAAGTGGTCGATGATCATAATGATAGCTAAGTTTCCTCATACAATCTTGCCAGATTCACTAGGCTACATAGCATTTTTTTCAAAGCACGGATATTTTTATCCAGAGACAAGTTCGTGACTGTAGGCACGTTAAAATAGGTCCCGTTGCATTATCGCTGTGACCCAGACTGTAGTGCTGCAACTACCTCCGCCGAGACATAATCTTCAAAAACGCAATGCAACAGTATTTATGAATAACAATTACAATGGTTTATTTCACTGCGACGTTTCTACAAGCATATGAACACAAATAAATGTAAATCATGTTGATTGCTATCCATAAATAGTGGTTTACTAAATATCCATATAAAATTGACTATTCCAAATAAATGTATACTTACAAACTGTGCTTCCGATTATTGGCCATTTAAAGGGTCCGGGGGGTAAACGGTACCTCTTCTTAAAGATAATATAAGCCAGAGCACCTGTTGCGGTACCAATCAATAAAGATCTAGTTATTTTAGATTCTGGTATATAATCATACACTACATCCGGTATATATTTAATTAGTTCTTCTAGTATATGTTGTATAGAGTCAACAATCACCATCTTGTTGGCGGCTCTACTGCCGATAACACCCGAACTGTCAGTATACTAACTGTCCTCTACAATTCAAGTCTGAAAAAAGGTATTTATAATATATCATCCGAAGCAAATTACATGTCTGATTATGTTTTAAAGATGCAAGGGCTTGTCCGGGTGGGTAGGTTGTAAAACAACACTTTCTATGAGAAAAGGGACATCAGATGGTGGGATGGGATGGGCGCGAGATAATGATATAGGCATATGCCATTTCACAATTAATGCTTTGCATCAATGTAATCGATTCACAATGTGATCGATTCACAATGTGATCGATTCACAATATGATCAATTTGATTCATAATAAAAATTGACGTCAAACAGAGTGTTGGATTTCTATCTTTAAAAAGCTTAGTATTCCTACGTAATTTGGAGACGATGATTGCATCATGCATTGCCATCTGTCAAATTCCCTTAACAATGGATGTTCTATATTAGTGGAAACCTGGCAAACCCCCTCCTGCAAAAATTCCTGAATATGTTTAGTATATGCGACATAATATACTCGCAGGGGCGACCTAGGGAATACCCGGTGGGCTGGATAAAAATATTGCCGAAAACAATTCATGATTAAGGGGCCAATCGATTAGGCTGATAATGCCACAGTACACTCAGTATATATATGAAGCTCAAAATGAAATGAAATGGGGTTTAGCGTCTTATAGTACATGTTCTGCTTCAACCGAGCCAATGCAGACGTGCATACGCCATACAATGTGCTACGTGGGAAATGTTTTACGGGCAGCGTTTCTACCGCCTACTTATATCGAATTCCAACTCGGGATCGAACACGGTGCCTCCAGATAAGCGAATCAGGTAGCTGCAGGCACAGAATACGCCTGCTGCAGCACAGTCAAAATCAAAATGCCTTATGGGTACCAACCACATAATTATACCAATTCATGACGTAACCAAATCAACAGAATGTTACAAAAGAGTCAGTATTCAAATATCATGGTGGTGCAAAGTCCTTTATAACCGATAGTCAGGTTATAATAGATCAACAGATAAATCTTTAAATTTGACACACCATACTTTGTTTAAACTATATAAACAAAAATAGATAAGTAACAGTAACAATGTGTAAAATTTATCAATGAAAGAGAAGGCGAACTATTGTTTAAATTCAGCACACAAAATGTGAAGCGATAGTACCACCTTGTCTTTCCATTTAAATTAACTATTCAATGTAAAACTAACAAAGTACACACCTTGGGAGCGGATGTTAATCCGTACTTATTTCGCTACTACCACAGTACACAGTGGCTACAATTAGCACAAATTGACTCATGACACCCTCAGCAAAAAGTAAGCACAGTATGTCTTTGTATGACAACCACAAAGATAGTGATATAGTTTGTGGGCTATAAAGACCCACCGGTATTTTGAATGCATCATAGCGTAAGGCACAAAAACATACTAACACAGCAATTTTAGGTGACATAGTGAATCACACAGCTCTTCACAATTACGACCAAAACGAAATCCCCAATGCCTTCACGAAGTACCTGAATAAACTGAAGATCAAGATGAATTCGTTTTCTCGAACCTCGGCAGGACATATCTTACATATAAGCTCAGGTAGGTGTTCCGGAAATGATAAGTATATTATGCCTCGAGCACGGTACCTATCGAAGGTAACATTACCTTATTACTTGTCTTATACAATGCCCATTTCCAGTGACCATTTATAAATCACTTCAATACCACGACTAGTTACATCAGTAGATCCTACAGGTTGTTTTTTTTTCAGTCTGAAGATGCAATACATCAATCCGAAATCTCCAAGATATTTTATAAGTCAGTGATCTAATATCGTGTTTACAACCGAGATGTCCGAATAAAGTTCTTTTGAAGAAACATAATTTTGAACAGCTATACATTTTCCCAGCTTCTTAAAAATTGTTATCGTTGTACTTACTTATGCCTTCCCAATAGTTCATCCGGTTATCGGTTTTCTGGGTGTTTTCCTGCACACACGGAAGATCTATAAAACGAGGAAGGTTACCGTCACTAAAATCAATTGCTTAAAGCTAAAGGTTGTCTATATTATAAACACACCTTGCTGAATCACTCGCTTATCTAGTATTACTTGTGGTTGTGAAATCGCTCAAACGTCTACTAATAAATCCCAATCCATATTCCCTCTCTGTATAGCTTTAACAATAAAGGCAATGTGACTGTACCATCCATAACACACAACTATATAACCCGCAAAGCAAACACCAGTCTTTAAAAAATGCAATTGTCAGTATGTTTACAACGACAAATATGTTTTATAGGGCGCTTCATAGCCCAAAGTAACATGGATAGCATGCCCTTGTTAACTAGTCCTATAGCTAACTGTAAACCCAGTTAGCTATCAGTGTTGTGTCTACGAAGTGATACTATACATACAGTTGTATACAACTGTCATAGCTGTTCCCTGACCTAGTTTACACTGTGTGTTGATCAGTATTATCTATTAAGAGAGAGAGAGACAGAGAGACAGAGAGAGACAGAGAAGGAGAGTGTTTAACGTCCACTCGACACAAACAAAAGGTCATTTCGGGACTAACATATGGTTCAATTTAATTCAATAATTCGCTTGCGCGTAGGGGTCTTTAGCAGTGGGATAAAAACGGAGGACCCGGAGAAAACCTACGAGGTTGGACAGGCGACCCTACTCTTTGTCACGTACAACCAGGGAATCGAAACCACACCAGTTGACTCAATGACAGATCTTATGATGCAGCGCGCACACGCTAACCATATTAATGACAAAACTCTAACCAAATACATAATATTTTTTCCTGGACTGATCAGTGATCAGAATAACCATCTAACACTGCCGGAAATAGATATAGCTTTGTTGTTAACGCAAACAACAGTTTCGACATGCGCAACTGCCCAGGAGCAAACGCACACCGGCATGATATTGTAGAGTGTTTTAAAAAAGCTACACCCCTAATGTATTTACACCAGAAGGTTTGTATGTGATTTCGGTACAACTTCGGTACTGTATTAGTATTCAGTAAACTGTTATATTTACGAAACATATGTTTTAGTATTGTATGTAACTTGTATATTAACGAAATATTGTATGAGCGTATGTGGCTTGTAGATAGGGGCGCCTTCTCAACTTCGAGTGGGTTTAATCCGGGTACTCCGGTTTCCTCTCACAGGAAAGACTCCGTGCGCTAAGACAGTGAAAAACAAAAATACGACAACTTGTCTGCGATATCACCTTCGGTGGAAGCGGAAGTTAAACACTAAGTACAAAAACACAAACAAACTAATCAACTATTTCGACAAACAACAGTTCTCTAACCACATCAGATGAAAACAACCGTAAACATACAGAATACTATAAATACCCTTTCATGGAACCTCATCATCATATAATTAATAAAAGAAATGTGGTAATTGGATCTTCAATAATTGAATATATCACCTCCAAGAAGATTTGATCACTCTGGATCAACATTTACCAAAACATTAAGTGGTGTCAAAATACGGGATATTATGTCACACTATAGAAATAACTGTCCTTATAATGAAAATGATGTTTTAAATATTTTTTTCTTGTTGCATCTAATGATTCTAGTCTTAGAACAGTTGAACACTGCAGACTTAAAGAGAGTCGCGTGGATAATTTTAAAACGTCATAGTAGACTCGTTTGTCTACCTAGCGAAATTTAGTGGGTATTGCCATGGTTGAAGGAATCTAGTGTAGTGAACTTTGATCCCAGTTATTTAATTTCAATCCATTTCTCACCTTGATATTATTATATCTAATGAAAGAGAATCGCTTTCGAACGAGTAAATTGCCCCTGAGTTAGAAATTGGAATCAGATCAATTATTTGATAATCTCGCCTACGAACATGGACTACGTAACAAACTTTAGACATACACTTAGTTATAGTTTGATGTTATTTTTGAAATATTTTTCACGTTACAGACGCCCGTGACGAAGATATCTATAATATATACAATCATTATCAATTTACTGTCCCCTGACCTATTTCATAGTTTATGTTGATCAGTGTTGTTATCTACTTTACTAAGAAATAGATATATAGAAAGAGAGGGGGTGTCGTCAAATCACAACACGGCTTTGTGACTTCATTATTTCTAGAAAGATATATGGAATGAGAGAGGGCGGTGATGCTGGTAGTACAAAGCGGAGAACCTATACAGAACAATCCCGAGGTTACGTATGTGATCCTAAACTCTTGGATAACTCATTTGACATTCTGTGATTTTTGTGAGAGATACTAATCTAACCCGGACTATCATATACTATTCAAAAAAAGTAGGGGATATTTGATTTTTAAGTGTTATTAAAGTCACCTAATGAAACTGACGAAGAAACAAATGACAAAATAAAATGAAGTTCACATTCATCGATTTATTCCAAATGATCGTTAGACTAAGTAAGGCACAGACTGACCATTATAAGGGTAAAATGATACCCGGGGTCAAACAGCAAAGTTACCACAGCATCACAACCAAGTCAGTAACGGGTAAATCCTCCTCTGTTTGCCAAACAAGCATTGATCCGACGTGGCATACTCCTAATGAGACGTCTAAGGTCATTTTGGTCCAGATTGTCCCATTCCTGTTGCAACGCAGCAGCAAGTTCTTGGACATTGGCAGGACGTTGTTGACGTTGACGTAACCTCTGTCCAAGCATGTCCCAGACATGCTCGATGGGGGAGAGGTCGGGACTCAGTGCTGGCCAAGGTAATGTGGTGATGTTCTGTTGTTGGTTGTAACCTGTAACGATCCTGGCCCTGTGACATCTTGCGTTGTCATCCTGGAAGATGAAACGGCGGCCACGACGTCGTGCGGTAGTACTGGCCTGTAACACGCCCTGCAACAACATGTAAAGCCGTTCTTCCAGCAACAGTGATGCCTCCCCACACCATAACAGAACCACCCCCGAATCGATCATGTCTGATGACGTTAACGTCTTGGAAGCGCTCGTTTCGACGACGCCACACCCTCCTACGTCTGTCCAAAAAATCAACAGTGAACCTTGACTCATCTGAAAACATCACATTGCTCCAGCGTCGATTATCCCAGTGTTGACGATCCCTACACCAACGACGTCTTGCCTGAATGTGATGATCTCTCAAACAAGGGATCACGCGAGGACGTCGGGCGCGAAGGTGACCCCTATGCAGTCGATTCCGAATCGTCTGGCCACTCACTCTCACACCAGTGTCTGTTTGAAGACGAGCGCTGATCTGATTTGCTGTGATGACACGATTTCTCAAGGCCAAGGTACGGATAAATCGATCCTGGGCTTGAGTTGTCGCCCTTGGTCGACCTGAGCGTGGTCTGTCCTGTACAGATTGTGTATCACGGTATCTGGACCATAGCCTGCTTATGACAGACTGAGAAACATTCATCGTCCGCGCCACAACCGCCTGTGTTGTACCGATCTGTAGCATGCCAAGGGCACGTAACCTTTCATTTTGGGTAAGCCGACGCATATCAAAATTTGTTTTCTGGTCACTAAAACAATTAAACTGATGTTTCCACCCTGGAATTCAATGCCACAATGACTGTAACATTCAAAGTCAGAGTCGTGCAAATCTTGGGTTGGACCCCCATGATGATCTCAAGCATCACCTGCATTCCATGCGGTAGCTATTGGTGCGTTTGGGCGTCACATGTAACTGGAAATGTTTCTTCTGTTAGGTTCTATAGTGACTTTTTTCGTAGTCATTTGCATATTTTAGTATTATGCCCCCAAAATCAAATATCCCCTACTTTTTTTGAATAGTATACTTCACCTTTGAACCCTCTCCTGATCTATAAATCATAATCTGTCATTGTTGCTAATTCCGTCATTGCTGCAGTTTCACTTTCAGTTTGTTACATGGATGAATGAATACAATTAATTCATTGGAAATCAAGAACCATTGTCTTCTATGAAATCAAAAGAGTCGCCACTCAAGGCACCAATGCCCCACAAAGCTGCTACGATAAAGGACATAACTCGTATTAGTGTTTCGTCATGATCTTGGCTAGTGGATTAGACACACAGGTAACTGATTATTCGTAAATGACTAAATGATACAGATTGGTAAACACTACCATTTTTAGCATACCAGTTTATCGACATGGCGAAGGAAATAAACAAAAATGACTGTAGTATATGTTTAAATTACTTTACAAAACCTAAAATAATCGACTGTCACCACACATTCTGTACTTCCTGTCTGGATGGTTATGTCAAAAGAACATGTACAAAGTCCATCAACATACCCAATGGTGGTGTAAACGATTTTCCAGTGAATTTTTATATCGATGACAAGCCGGTACCGGTGGTTGTTTGTCGACAACATAAGAAAGATAAGGATTTATATTGTAAAGATTGCAAGATAACATTATGTTATAAATGTTTTATTACGAGTCATCAAGGACATAACTTGCAGAATGTTGAAGATGTGGAAAGCGAACATAAATTAATTCTGGAAGAACTGGAACAAAAGGTTCAGACTAAAATGGCGTCCAACAAGCCTATCGTAGAATCTTTGAAAAAAGAAGTTTTAACAATCAATCAATTTTCGACTACAGAATGTAAAAAGGTTGACCAAAGGATAGAAGCGATGTATCAGATTCTTAAAGATGAAGGCCAACAAATAAAACTGAAAATACAGAATCCTAATTTACAGCAAGCGCAGGTGATGAGTGATATGACTAAGGACGTCGAAGAAAACACGAGGCAGATGTCGGAATTTGGCAAACAGATACGTGAGATGTTACACAGTCTCCAACTGGAAGAAATACTGAATACAACTCCATAAGTGAGACAAGCCATCAGTAATGCTGATAAAGATTTTGCTGTACCCAATTATGAATGTACTCATTTTCAAGATGGCGTCGTTGGTAATAACAATTTATCCGAACTAATCGGTAAAGTACACAGACCGGAGACGAACCGATATGAATGCAATTTAGATAATAACCCAGACCCTGGGATAAACAGTAAAGCACATGAGCCAGCTTTCAATTTCAATTTGCCATGCATTTCTGGTGAAGAAGATGAATGTATCCAAACATATTGGTAGTGTACACAAACCGCGGGGGAACCAATTTGAATGCAGTTTTGATGTGATTTATAGTGATCGGTATACGGCATGTAATAAAGTTTTGGGGAATCAAGACCGACTGCCTCAATGTTATACAATTTAGGGTGTTGTCTGGACAGTAGACTGCGTTCTTTTGTCTAGATCCATAGATGACATGGATGACAGTCATGTAAAACTCCAGCTCCACTCACCAGGTGTGAAATGCAGGGCCAGTTTCAAACTGAAAATTATTAATATCAATGATAGTGAATCATTTATCATTGAAGATGAACATTTTTTCAGAAATAATAGTAA